TCAGCAGAATGCTAAAAGCTGGTGCAGCCTTCTGCCATCTAGGCACGGGGCTGGCAAGGAAAGGGAACCTCGCACAGAGAAGTCAGTCCCCAAGCATCCTTATCCGTATGGCACTGCACCAGGGCGCCACTGGCTCTGGCCCCCACAGAATTGACCCTTCCCCAGGAACTGACTTATGCTGAGGGATGTTTTGCCTCCTGGACATTTTTACCTATGGCCCAGCGTCTGCTGCTTTTATGCACAAACTGGTCCATCTCTACAGGATCCATTAAATTTGTTTCCTCTCCCACTCCCTGAGGGTCTTACAATTTAGAGTTTCTATTAAATTCTTGGGCTGGAATGACAGCACAGCAGGTAGGGCGTTTGCCTTGCATGTGGCTGACCCGGGTTCAATTCCTCTGTCCCTCTTGGAGAACCCAGCAAGCTACTGAGAGTATCTCACCCATACGGCAGAGCCTGGCAAGCTACATGTGACATATTCAATATGCCAAAAACAGTAACAACAAGTCTCACAATTTGTTGTGAGACATTACTGATGCCCATTCGAGCAAATCGATGAACAACGGGAGGACAGTGCTACAGTGCTATTAAATTCTTGAGCAACTGAGGCGCTGGCATAATAGTATAGCTGGGAGGGCATTTGCCTTGTACACACCCAACCCAGATTGATTTAATCCCTGACACCCCGAAGGGTCCCCCTAGCTCACCATGAATGATCCTTGAGCACAAAATCAGGAGTAAGCCCTGGGCACATCCAGGTGTGGCCAGAAAGAAAAAGAAAAAGAAAACAAACAATAAAACAAGAGAGTTGGTACAACAAGTTAAGACACTTGCCTGACATACAGCTTTGGCTTAAGACTGATGTGAGTCCAGGTACTGTATATAAGCCTCCAAGTACCACCAGGTGTGGTCCCTAAGCATAGATCCAGGTGTACCAAGAAACAAAAGACACAAACACAAAACAAAGTTTTAGAACAATTTCATCAGGACATTCAATACTGAGTGAGCATTTTTTTTTAAAAAGCAAGTTCTTAAATCTTTAGAAAGTGGGGTGCATTAGGGAAAGGCTGGTTTCCTTTTCCCTTACCAGAGTCTTCTGAGGATGCTTCTGGGGTGGGGGGGGGGCAGGATTTTAGAAACTCACAGCAAAGGGGCTGAGGTGAGGGTGAACCAGGGCTGCCGCCCCAGATCTTCCAGATTTTGACATCCAGCTGATGGAACCCCAAAGAGAAACTTTATAAGAGACTGGAGGGGTCCTGCTTGGAAACGGCGACTTCTCATTCCTTGGCACACCTATCTACGTGCAAGGCAGCCTGGGAACTGTGGAGCATCTGTTCACAGAGGTGGGGACGAGGGCACGGGTGGGGTGATCGCGCAGCAGGGAGGGTGCTTGCCTTGCCAGTGGCTGACCCAAGTTTGATTCCGGCATCCCATATGGTCCCCTGAGTCTTCCAGGAGTGATCCCTGAGCACAGAGCCAGGAGTGAGCTCTGAGCACTGCCGGGTATGACCCAAGAGCCAAAAACTATAATATAATAATAATAATAACAACAACAACAATAATAATAAACGATAAAGCCTTAAGACACCATTAAAAAAAGAACATGAAGGTGGTGAGTCACCAGCAGTCCTAAACTCTCCCCCACGACAGTGCCATGGCAGAGACGCTGGCACTCGGCCCTCTGCGCAGAAGAGGCCGATGTTCTCTCTTGAACAGGGCCTACTCGCTCTTTCCTTCCTCATAATCTCTAAATAAAATTGTCCTTTTCAGTGAGGGAAAGTCACAATCTGATAAAGAACATTAAGACTGATTTTCCTTTTCCTGCAAAGAGCAATTAATTCCTCATTCCTGCCCAGGTTCCACATCTCTCCGAGAAACAAGAGTGGTGGGGTAAAGAGTGGGGGGAGGGCATGGGGGGGTAGGGAGCAAGAATCATTCCCCACACCGGGTAGATGGAATGGCACCCAAGTACAGTTTAACACCTGCCGTGTGGAGCTGGTGACATGTCAGGTCTGCGCCAGGCAAGTGCTTCGGTACACTCATCAGTCCTAAACCACCGGCCACTGCCTTGGGGGACCGACCTGGGCAAGAGGAGGCAGGAGACTCCCCTCTGGAGGTGGCGCCCTCCCCGACCCACGCCACATAAAACACCTGTAACGCAAGCAAAGGAAGTGCCTACGGGGCCTCGGATTAGTGAACATTAATATATCCAAAAGCCCTAGTTAGACAAAGTCGGGAGGGTGGAAAGAGGATTCCCATACATGTACAACCAGTAATCAGGGCCTCCAGCCCTAGAGACCATTTCCCTGGTGGTAAAGCTGAGTGTGAGGTTTGCCAGAGATTTATGAGATCTAGCTGTTTGAAGGCCACACCTGGCGGTTGGTCAGGGGTTATTCCTGGCTCTGCACTTAGCAATTACTCTTGGCTTGGGGGACCATATGGGATACCGGGGATTGAACCCGAGTCGGCTGCATGCAAGGCAAGTGCCCTACCCGCTGCGCTCTCGCTCCAGTCCTAGCTTTTTGTTGTTGTTGTTGGCTTTTTTGGGTCATACCCGGCGATGCTCAGGGGTTACTCCTGGCTCTGCACTCAGGAAATACTCCTGGCGATGTTCAGTGAACCATATGGGATGCTGGGGATCGAACCTGGGCCAGCCACGTGCAAGGCCAACGTCCTACCCGCTATGCTATCACTCCAGCCCCGAGCCCAGCTTCTTAACTTGAGGTGGTGAAACTGAATATGAGGGTCATTTTAAAATCAATTTCTTTATGATTTATTATCAGTAAATGTTTGTTTGACATGCCTATTTTAAATGTCTATCTACCTCGGGTCGTGTAAAAATATCACAGGCAGAAGGAGGTGATAAATGGAAACCCTTTAATAAGTCCTGTTCTAGAAGATTGTGACGCTTGGATTCAGGTCTGCCCTGGTTCTTTCTCTGCCGTCGTCTCTGCTATTTGTTTCTTAATAAACCAATTTTAGCTCTGGAATAATGAATTGCTTTAGAGGTCAATACAGTATTTCATAAAGTGACAAAAGCAATTGTGGATAGAGTCCCCAGGGGACACTTTCTATCTTAAAAGTTTCCTAGTCCCAACTTGAAGACTTTTAACATGTTAAAGACGTATAATAAAAATAAGAGGGCACCTAAAGAGAATTTTTTCTTTAAAAAAAGACATTAAGGACATTTAATAAAAATACGAGGGTGCCTGAGAAAACTGAGCATCTGTCAGAATCGTTTTTATGTCAGGAACAAATTGCACTCTTTGCCTCGCCCCTAGGTCTGTAGGGCCCCCCTGAGTGAGTGGGGGCTCTTCTACTGCTGACTGCTTTGTGGGCATGCAGACTAACGCATACATATCCCAACTGTGTTGGAACTCACATTATCCCACGCTGCAGATAACTTGACATAAAAATATGTTGAGTAAGGGACTCTTTTTAATATGTTCCCCCAGATTCCAATGAACACTCCTACGGTCGCCTGGGGTCTGCTGGCTTCAGCCTTGTGGAAGCTCCTGCTTACCCAGCCAACCAGCTGCACTTCCTGTGAGCCACAGCTCAACAAGTAAATGACTAGCTCAACTAGTCACAGACAGAACAGAGCTGAACTGACTCACCTGTGCACAGCTTGGACATGCATGAGCCGGCTTTGGATAGCCAGATTCTGCTCTGAATCGTGACTCACTGGGCGCCTGGGCTTACCTAATGCTGCTCCATTACCTATAAAAGGGGGCTAATAACGCCAGACCGTGGGAATGACACGTGGCCATTGTACAGGAAGCAGCTGCTAAAGATTTGAAGGTCTGGGTGCATGCTTGGAAGAGCCCAGCTTCAACCCAGCCCAAGGCCTGGCATCCCCGAGAGAATCTCGGTGTTTGAGGCACCTGGCAGCAGGCTGCCCATCTCTTTGGAGATGAAGAGACTGTTCAAAAGAAGGGATTGGTGGGGCTGGAGCAATAGCACAGCGGGTAGGGCGTTTGCCTTGCATGTGGCGGACCTGGGTTTGATTCCCAGCATCCCATATGGTCCCCCAAACACCCCAGGAGTGATTCCTGAGTGCAGAGCCAGGAGTAACCCCTGAGCATCGGCTGGGTGTGACCTAAAAAGCAAAAAACAAACAAACAAAACCAAGGGATTGGTTTACGGTTTATATGCAGTTTGAATTTTGACATGAATTTAAAAAATACCTGGATGCAGGGCTGGAGCGATAGCACAGCGGGTAGGGCGTTCGCCTTACAAGCGGCCAACATGGCCGACCCGAGTTCCATTCCTCCGCCCCTCTCGGAGAGCCCGGCAAGCTACCGAGAGTATTCAATATGCCAGACACAGTAACAACAAAGTCTCCAATGGAGACGTTACTGGGCCCGCTCGAGCAAATCGACGATCAACGGGAGGGCCTTTACCTTTTACCTTTTACCTGGATGCAATAGCCCAGCGGGGAGGGTATTGGCCTTGCATGTGGCCAACCCTAGTGCAATCCCTCAGTGTCTCATAGGGTCCCCCAGCATCTGCAGAAGTGATTCCTGAGAGCAATGTCGGGAGTAAGCCCTGAGCACTGATGAGTGTGACCCCAAAACAATATATATGTGTCTATATAGATATACATACACACATATATGTTTGTTTTTTAATTACACATACTCATATATACATATATATTTGTTTTTAAATAATATATACATATATGTCTATGATTAAAAACAGGCCCTCAGTTAGGGGCAGGGTTGTTGACTTCCTGAACCTTTGGGCTCTGAGTCAAAGGACAAGGAACATGCAACAATGTAACACTAATAATCACCCACGTGGATGCGGGCGCTCCCTGCCCCTGGGGGGAGAGGCGTAAACTCCCGGCCCGCCCCGAGCTCCGGCCGTCTCTCCTCCCGGCCTCCCGAGCTCGCCCGGACTCCGCGGCGGGCCGAGCGCGCGGCTCGCGGGCCCCGGCGGCGGGAAGGGCCGGGCCGGGGGCGGGCCCGGAGCCCGGGCTGACCCAGCGGCGCCGCCCGCCGGCCGCCGCCACCGCCATGCTGCAGAAGCAGGAGAAGGTGCTGCTGCTGCGGACCTTCCAGGGCCGGACCCTGCGGCTGGTGCGCGAGCACTACCTGCGGCCCTGCGTGCCTTGCAGCAGTCCGCTGTGCCCGCAGCCCGCCGCCTGCCGCAACGGTCGGCCGGGGTCGGGCGGGGAGGGGCGGGCGGGGGTAGGAGCCTGGGCCGGGGCCGGGGCTGGGGCCGGGGCCGGGCGGGGATCGGGGCCGGGGCCGAGGTCGGGACCGGGCGGGCGCGGGTTGGGACCGGGGCCCGGCGTCGTACGAGCCCGAGTGCGCGGCGGGAGGCGGAGCGCCGAGGCCTGGGCCGGCGCGGGGCGGGCGCGGGGCGCTGGCGGGCGCTGGCCGGGGGCGGGCGCTGGCCGGGGGCGGGGGGCACGGCGCGAGCCACCCCTGCACTCCCTGCGCCCCGCTCATTGCGTCTGGGTCGCTGCTTGAGCCCCGGGCTCTACTCCAGGAAGTGGCGGGGACGTGGGCCCGGGACCCGCAGAGCGCGGGGGGCTGAGCCCTTGGCGGCCCAGCGCGGGCACGGAGCGGGGCGAGCCTTGCCAGCGGGTGTTTGGGGGGACCCGCGGCCCGGTGCAGCCCGGCACACCGCTGCCCCTCGGTGCCCACGAGCGTCTTCGGCCCCGGAAGCGCTGGGCATGTGCACTCGGGAACCCGGGCCTGAGCCAGGAAGACCCCAGGACGGTTGGCCTGGGAGCGTGTCCCCCAGTTAACGGGAAAGATGCAGGGGGTGCCACCGTGCATTAAAGGCTCAGCCCTCGCCCCTGGCACCGCCCTGGATCCACCACCTGGAGTTTTTGTTTAGGCCAAAGTCCAAAGTCAGGGAAGCCACGGTGCTGAATTAACTCCCAACTCCGAACTTTGCCATAAGAAAATCGTTTCGTCTTTTAAAAACTTCACTTAGTGGGGGCCAGAGGGGTTGTTCAGAGGGGAAGCACTAGCCTTACACTCTGACACCCCCCCCCCCCGATTTCTGGGTTTGGTTTTTTTTTGGGGGGGACGGGGGTTACACCCTGCGATGCACAGGGTTACTCCTGGCTCTGCACTCAGGAATTACTCTTGGTGGTGCTCGGTGGACCATACCGGGTGCCCAAGATCGGACCCTGGTGGTTCATGTGCAAGGCAAACGCCCTACCCACTCACTGTACTATTGCTCCAGCCACCCTCACCCGTTCATTTGATGCCCTGCACCCCATATGGTGTCCCCACTCCCCAGCACCACCAGGGGTGATCCCTGAACACAGAGCCAGGAGTAAGGCCTGAGCACTGTTGGGTATGGCCCCCTCACCCCCCAAAAAAAATTAAATTAAAACTTGGCTTTGTAGTTTAGAATAGAAGTTATTTGACCGCCGGGACTCCATGCAAGCGCTGTGTCAGGCTTGGAAACACTGTCTAATTGCCTGCATTCTGAATTCTGAAGCAGATGGCAAACTTCTGTCGAGTGACCTGACTCATTACATGATCCCTGACTGGAAAGTCGTGCAAGATTACCTGGAGATCCTGGAGTTCCCAGAGCTGAAGGGGATCATCTTCATGCACACAGCCTGCCAGGCAGTGCAGCATCAGAGAGGCCGCAGGTACCTGTTTGCGTTGGGTGTTGATCACTTTGACCCAATACACCTTCAGAAAGACCTCCTGTTGGAGAGGGGAGTCGGAAGGGAGAAATTCATCATTTTGTAGAAAAGTTGGAGCTGATTTGGTCTTTTTCTTTTAGTTTGTTTGTTTTTGTTTTGGGGCCACAAGAGGTGATGCTCAGGGCTTAATCCTGTCTCTGCACTCCGGCATCACTCCTGGTGGTGATCAGGGAATCTTACGGGATGCTGGCAGTCACACCTGGATTGGCTAGTGCAAGGCAAGCACCCTACCTTCTGTAATAGGCCCCTAGTTTGGTATTTTCTTGGCTAGTACAACTGCTGTGCCATCATTGCATATTTCTGCTTCGACAGCGGCCCAAAGATCCAACTGTAGATCAATAAACTGGATGTCCCTAGGATGTGGGTATTTAAGATTCTTGGCTGTAGGTTTGCATTTTTAAAGTACCAGAGTTATTGCTTGTTTCTCAGCGATAGCACATATTATTTCATCTTCTAATTTATAGATCTACTACTTCAGAAGCTTTTTTCTGGGTCTGGAGGCGGGGATAGACTCTTACTTTTTCCTTTTAAGCTCCTTTATTGTGGATGCAAATTGTACTTGTAGTGATTTATTCAATGCAGCCAGAAATAACCTGTTTTATTTTTAGATTATTAGTATAACTACCCACCATAATAATTATATTTGCCTAAACAAGCATTTCTGATTAAAATCGGTTGAAAATGCTGGCCTTGTATCTAAACGAAGGGCTTTTAAACAAATACTCTGGAAAATGGTTTTGTTTCATTTAGCATTGGGAAAAGACTGATGATTTAAACTTGAAGACTGTATTGAAATAGCATATTAGAATTATATCCTACCTCTTAAAGCTCCATGTTATTTAAACAGTAGAAACTGTATTTATTCTTTTTTAAATGCTGTGACTTCTTGTTCAGACTTTGGTAGTAAAAATGAAGTGTGTTTATTTGTATATGAAAATGATAAGTTGTTCTTATTACGCGTTCAGTTCAAAAATGCATTAACTAGATTGTACACAGGTTTTCAAATAGAATATTTTTAAAAGGAGCTGGAAGTTGATTTTGCTCAGACACAAAGATATAGATGTTTGTACACATCCAGGTTTAAATGCTGCTCCAGATGTCGTATTTCAATTTCTGCTACTAAAATCAATGTGTTGTTGTCATTCAGGTTACTGAAGTATTGCTGAGCCCTTTCAGCTTCTTTTTTCTAAATTATTTTTAATATAAGGATTGTTTTTAAAAACCAATTCCTCGAACATCCAAAAGCAAAGAATTGGAATTGAAATGTCTTTTTTCCCCTGCACATTTCAAAAGTTGTTAACTTGATGAAAACCTATTGGTTTTCCACTGCTTTCCCATTTCTCTGAATCCACTAAATGCAAAAACAAAAGATGAGAAGAATGAAATAGAATGAAATACGATGATGCATGTATTTCCCATCTGGTGAACACACTGGGAGTGCCTGCTTCCAAGCCTTCTGCAGTACAAAAGGAAGTCTTGGTCCCTCTCTCAAGAAACCTGTGTTCTTGTTGGAGTTACATGCCAGAAGTCAGATGCAGGATAATTTCATGCAGACCACACAAAGAGCAAGAGAAAATATGGGGCACAGAAATTAGGCTAGAAAGTCCTCTAAAGGTCGGGTTGGAGCGGAGTATAGCAGAGAGGATGCTTGCTTGGCTCACATCCAACCTGAGTTCAATCCCCCGCATCGTGTATGGGCCCCCAAGCACCGCCAGGAGTGATTCCCTGAGTGCAGAGCCAGCAGTAAGCCCTGAGCACCTCTAACAAAAGAAAAAAAACAGTTTAGAAATGGAGAGATAATACAAGGGTTAAGGCCCTTGCCTTGCACACAATCTTTCTCAGTACCACAACTGGTCCCCCAGGAGTGATCTGAGCACAGAGCCAGGAGGAAGCTCTGAGCGCCACTGGGTGTGGCCCCCAAACCAAAAATAAATAAATCAGTCTGAAGAAGATAGTTTACTTATTGTCCCCCACTCCCTACCCCCCAAGAATTTGTTTTAAATGTTTAGATAGTGGATGTTTCAATTTTTTTCTGGGATTTTTTTTTTTTTAGCAAAAGACAGTTGACTCTATGGCATGATTGTCCTGTCACGCAGACCAAACTTGTTCTTGGTACCGTGATGCTCTCTGCTTGCTCCTTGCCAGATGCTCATATATCTAATTCCATCTGCCTCACCGATCCTGACTAGCGAAAATATGGCTGTATTGTATGGATGCATTATTAAATTATCACCGGGCACCCACATGCCTACCAAAAAAGTTCAACTGTCAGACTCAGAGTGATTCGCTGTTTCTTCCCCACTTTCTCCATTAATATTCTTCTGCCATTTGTTCATTTGTTTTATCTGGCTTGATAAATCGGTAGCTGACAAATGGAAACACACACTGCAAATCTAAGGGAAATATAGGTGGGTGAAACTTAAAAGAGGGGGAATACTTTGTGACAATTGACAAGGATTGTGACTTTTCTGATTGGGGCGGTGAGCCTCCAGGGCTGTGTGGTGGAACATTCTAGACTTGGAGAGGCCAGCATGGGTTTATGCCCTAATTAGCCTGAAGCCTGGCTCTGAGAATTTTTATATTTGGACCATGGTGGCCACAAAAGGTGTGAGTTCATTCATTTATTCATTTGGAAAATACTGAGCTCCTCTTACGGGCCGAGCACTGATGATGTGAAGGTGAGCTTCGTCTTCAGCCCTGGCTCTGTGCCTCCCTTATCCCTTCCCTGCTAGCTCATTGCTCCATTGTCCGCAATGCCACCTTGCCCACAACAAAAATGTTTTAAATAATTTTATTTTGGTGGCAGTTTCTGGCCTGCCTCTGACTGTCCTCTGGGCTGACTCCTGACTGCACTCAGGGGTCACTCCTAGTAGATTCAGGGGACCATATGAGGTACCGAGGATCAAGCCAGGTCAGCCACATTAAATGCAAGTACCTTACCGCTGTATTATCTCTTTAGGCCTTGATTAATTTTTTTTTTTCAATGATAAGGTGCCTGGACTGGAGAGATAGTGCAAAGATTAAGGCATTTGCCTTTCATACCTTGGACCTGGGTTTGATTTCCCCACACCCCAGATGGTCCCCAAAGAGTGAGTGGGGCCCCACCAGGAGTGAGACCTGAGCACTGCTAGGTGTCACCGAAAAACTGAAGAGAAAAAAGAAAGAACTGTTCCAAATTCAGGTCTTTATGTGATGTAGATCAGGGAACAAAAGCTCTGCAGAATCAGACAAGGAAAAATGTTTCCTGAAGAGAACGTTCTCTCTGAAATATTTACAGCTGTTTATAAAGTCTCTTCTAAAACCTTTCGTTGCTCAAAACCAAGGGCTCCCTCTCAGTCTCTCTCGGTGTTTCTGCAGGAGCAGGGGGTCCAACATTTGATGGTGGTGCTTGCTGAGGGGGCTTGAAGCCAGGCCTGGGAGAAGCAGGCAAGGCAGAAAGGGCCTGTCTGGCTCCCTTCAGCAAACCTCTTCTCAGGGTGGTCTTTGTGGGCTTTTTTGGGGGGCCACACCTGGCAATGCAAAGTGTTACTCCTGGCTCTCCACTCAGGGATCATTCCTGGGATGCTGGGAATCGAACCTCAGGTGACTGCATGCTAAGCAAGCCCCCCCCCAACTGTGCTATCACTCCAGCCCCCGGAGTCAGGCTTTGGGAAGGGATTTCAAAGGTTGCGTGTGGAGCTGAAGGACTGACCCGCTCTTACAGAAGAGGTGGGGTGCAGGGTTCTGTGAGGGAACACTGCCTGCCACAGAAACGAGAGTTCCTTTGTTTACTGACATGTTTTATTTTATTGGTGTTTGAGCCAGACCCAGTGGTGCCTGAGGCCTGCTCCCAGCTCTGTGCTCGGGCTTGCTCCTGACAGGGCTCAGACACCAAGGATGGGCAGTTCTGGGGGCTAAATGTCTCTATTCCTACTTGGAAATGTGCTAAGTTTCTATTGTTTAATGCTTTTTAAGATGGCTTCAAAATCAGAATGACTGTGGTTATAGAGTCAAGGCACTTGCCTTGCTTGTAGCTGGTCCGTGTTCTATCCCCAGTCACTTCTGGGGATCAGCCCTGAGCACAGAGCCGGGGATAGTCTGAGTGCTGCTGGCTGTGGGCTGCCCACCCCAATCAGAATTACTTGGAAAACATAATCAGCGTTTCTTGTTTTCTAATTAAGTGTTGAAACCACATAGATTTTAACAGCATTTATTTCTTTGGTTTTTTTTTTCCTTTCATTCCCTCCCCCTCTCCTTTTTATCTTTTCATGGAATTTATTTAAAGAGGGTTCCTTAGAGCATTCTACCTCTGCATTAATGAAAATGGTTTATTTTTTGAACCCATTGTGGCAGGAAAGAGGTGGGGATAGAAGGGTAGAAATTTTATTACATTAAAACTCATTTTAAAGGCCAGCTTTCTACCTTGGATACTTTATTATTTTAATTGAACATGTGGCTTCACATCTGTTCTGTTGTTGGGCTGGTTTGGTTTTGTGGCTTGGAGCCACACCTGACAGTACTCGGGACTGCCCCAGTTTCAGGACCGGGCTGCAGTGTGGGGAGAGGAGCGACATCCCTGGAGCATGCAGTTCGGGGCTCAGACCTGGGTATCCAAAGCACGTGCCATGCCCACTGAGCTCTCCCCCCAGCCCTACTATCTGTCCCTCTGAAAGTAGGCAGTCGACCTCCTTTAAAACAACAATGAATGGGGCCAGAATGACAGTTCAGCAGGGAGGGCACTTGCCTTGCACGCAGCTGACCTGGATTCGATCCATGGCATCTCATAAAGTCCCCCGTGCCCACCAGGTGCAGGGCCCTGAGTGCAGAGCGAGGAGCAATGCCTGAGCTTTGGCAGGTTTGACCAAGAAAACTTAAAAAAATAAAAACTGCTCCAGGCATGGAAGGGGTCACTCTGGGTTTGTTTGTTTGTTGATTGGTTGATTTCTTTTAAAATTTTGCTGTGCTGGGAATTGAACCCACGGCCTCACGCATGTGAGGCAAATGCTCTGCCGCTGAGCCATAACCCAGGCCCAGTCACTCTGGTGTTAAGGAATCAGTCTCACCCTGAAATGCCTCTTCTTGGATCCGTCGCAGGAGCAGGCAGTGGGTGACGCGGGCTCATTAGATTTATTCCTCTGCTGTCCCACAGGCAGTATAACAAGCTGCGGAGCCTGCTGCGGGATGCACGCCGGGACTGCGTTCTCTTCGCTAATGAGTTCCAGCAATCCTGCTACGTCCCGCGGGAACGAGGAGAGGCCATGGAGAAGTGGCAGACCAGGTAGGTCCGCGCGGCTGCCGCAGACATACCTATCTTTCCTCCGTCTCCCCAGCACTTTGAAAGCCAATCACAGCTGACCACGATGAGTGCTGCAGTACCTACCATGCCAGTATCTGACATCCATCCAACATCCGTTCAACATCCATCTAAAAGAGGTCCAACAGGGACCTAGTTTAGAAATTGTGGGGTTGGAGCCATAGCACAGCGGGTAGGGTGTCTGCCTTGCACGAGGCCGACCCAAGTTTGATTCCCAGCATCCCATATGGTCCCCTGAGCACCACCTGCAGTAATTCCTGAGTGCAAAGCCAGGAGTAACCCCTGTGCATCACCAGGTGTGACCTAAAAAGAAAAAAACAAAATAGAAATTGAATTGAGGCAAGAGCTAGGGACCCAGAGTAAGCATTACCCAGACTCTGGCTAGCAAGACAGGGGCAGTGATTCATTTAGCTCTTTCGTACCAGTATACTGGTATGTTCCTGGTCCCTACTTTATTTTTTTGTTCAAGTTTTTTTTTTTTTTTTTTTGGTGGGAGGTGGTGGTGGTCACACCCGGCTATGCTTCTAGCTCGCACTTAGGAATTAATCCTGGCAGTGTTGGTGGTTGGGGAGGGGGGCGGTATATGGGGTGCTGAACCAGCTTAGCCACTGCAGTGCAAATGCCTCACCCACTGTACTATCCTCTATGCCCAGTTTTCTTTCCTTGTTTTTGTTTTAAGGAGGCTCACACCCAGCCTTCTGGGTCTCCAGGCAGTGCCAGGCCTGGACCGCGCTTGGCATCTGCTCACACTTGAGCCCCCTGGAGTCCTGCTTTATCTCTCCTGCCCCTACCCCAACCCTGCCCCCCCACCCCCCGTGCCAGGGAGAGAACCCACAGCTTCACAGACCAGACGATGTTCTACCGCCGAGCTATCACCAGGCCTCGAGCATTCTGCTTTTACACTAAACCATCTCTGATTCTCTGCTACCCATCACTCTGCTCCCCAGCCAGCCTCTGCTGAGAGTGGCCAGTCAGTCCTGGGGCAGCTCTCTCAGGAACTGACTGTAGCGTCAGAGTTTACATCTGCCCAGAAGTGGCACTTATGCCCTGTCCAAGTGGGCAGCGTGAGACTGGGACAGAGAGACGCAATAAAGGGTGTGACTGTTGTGGGCTAACGAAGGGCCGGTCCTGCCAGGAACCACTGCCCAGGTCAGCTCAGAGGCCACAGGCCAGAATGCTTCCTTACTGCCCGTTTAACTGAAGGTCATTTCCCACCACCTAACCCCACACTGCAGTAGACCTAAGAGGTCCCAGAGCTCAGTTCAGCTGCCTCTGAGATACTCCCGGAGCTGGGAGCCATTGGTCTCTGTAGAAGGTAAAATAGATGGTCCTAACCACACGAAGTTTTTAAGTTGTCTTTTTTTTTTCCCATGTAATTCTTTATAGCCATTAAATATTTAAATTCTCTAAGCAAAGCACTGATACATACTGAGTCCTTAATTATAATCCTTAAATTCCCATGGAGCTTAGTACTAGAGATAGGAAAGCAAATCTTTCTTCACTGCATCCCATGCGGGTGCTCAAAGCTGTCACACGCTCGACTCCTCGGCCTGGCTCGGCACTCCTGAGTGTTGAGACCTGGTGGGGTATTTTTTTTAATTATGAGAACTAAAAGAGCCTTTTCCATAGGTTAGTGGGCCCGGGGGGCCTGGGATCATGGTTTTTGTTTGTTTGTTTGGTGGGTGGGTTGTTTTGAGGCCGGGTCTGACTCAGGGTCTTCCTGGCACTGCCCAGGGGACCATACGGAGCAGGGAATCAAGCTAGTTGCTCCTGCATGCAGAGATTCCTCCAGCCCTTTGACCCATCATTCTGGCCTGGTGTGTAGCATCTTCACTGCTAGATGCATGTCCCTTTGCACACTGTACTGGAGATAGAAGCCAGTCGCAAACACACATCTCCAGGCCCGCCCGACTGATCTCTGATTCACATTCTTTTGTTTGGAGGTTTTCTATTTGTTTGTTTGTTTTGGGGGTTTTGGGCCACACCCAGCAGCAGTGCTCAGGGATCACTCTTGGCAGTGCTCAAGGATCAACTGAGAAAACCCAGCCTATTATTGCTTGCAAAGCAAATGCCCTCTCTACTGTACTATCTCTCTGCCGCCACCCCCATGCCCATTCAGATTCGTTTCAGGAAGATTTTCTTTTCTTTTTCTTTTTGGTGGGCTGGAGCGATAGCACAGCTGGTAGGGCGTTGGCCTTGCAAGCGGCCAACGTGGCCGACCCGAGTTCGATTCCTCCGGCCCGGCAAGCTGCTGAGAGTATCTCGCCCACACAGTAAAGCCTGGCAAGCTACCCGTGATGTATTTGATATGCCAAACACAGTAGCAGTTGTCACAATGGAGACATTACTGGGCCCGCTTGAGCAAATCGATGAACAACAGGAGGACAGTGACAGTGACAGTTTCTTTTTGGTTGGAGGGATGGGTGGTTTAAGCCATACCCAGTGGTGCTCAGGGCTTACTCCCGGCTCTGTGCTCAGGAATCACTCCCGGTGGTACTTGGGGTGCCCGGGGGTCAAACCCGATTGGCTGCATGCAAGGGCTTCCTGCTGGGCCTGTTGTCTCAGGCAGATGCTCAGGTATCTATAAATACTCCCTAGCCAGACCTTATTAAATTATGATCTTCAGCCACTCGTGGCCTAGTTTTCCTGTTAGCCAGACACTTGGCTGCTCATCTTCAAGCCTGCTGACACTCTTTCTCACCGCCTGTGGAGCACTGTGGAGTGGCCCTCCAGTCACTCAGTGTGACAAGATGTACAATTTCCCAGTTTCAAGACCATGCAGAAGGGCTGAAGCGATAGCACAGCAGGTAGGGTGTTTGCCTTGCACATGGCTGACCCAGGTTCGATTCCCAGCATCCCATATGATCCCCTGAGCACCACCAGGAGTAATTCCTGAGTGCAGAGCCAGCAGTAACCCCCGGTGTGCCTCGCCAGGTGTGACCCAAAAAGCAAAAAAAAAAAAAAAAAAAAATGCAGAGGAACAAGAGTGGTCGGACATTTCAGATGTTTGCTGACCAAACCTTATAAGCCTGTGGAGGCCGGAGCTATAGTACAGCAGGAAGGGTTCGATCCCCAGCATCCCATATGGTCCCCTGAGTGATTCCTGAGTGCAAAGCCAGGAGTGAGCCCTGATCATTGCCAAGCGTGGTCCCCAAAACCAAACAAAAATATCAACGTTACCAGCCTAGAGCAGGGATTCTTAAACATCTGTCCACTTGCAGCATCTTTTCATCTGAGATATTTTTGGCTGTTTTTTTCATTGTTGCTTTTGCCTGGGAGGGGCACACCTGGTGGCTATACCCAGTGAAGTGCTGGGGACCAGGAGTTCACTCTTGGTCGTGCTTGGGGAAACCCGTACTTCCTGCATGTACAACAGCCCCCTTAAATCATTGCCCAAGAAATTTTCACAAGACTCTGGTTGTGAAGAAATGTAAAATACATACACAAATTAAACACATGTTGGAAGAAATTATAAATTTATTATAAAACAAAATTTTTAAAAAAATTATCCAAGCAGGGACCAGAAAGGTAGTATGGGATAAGGTGCTTGTCTTGCCCACTGCTGACCCCAGTTTAATCACCAGCACCTCATCTGTTCCCTGAGTGCCACCAGGGGCCACACATCAGCACAGAGCCAAGCTCAGCCCCTGAGCACTAGGACGTGTGGCCCCCAAACAAAAATAAACCTCCAAAAGTTAGGCAACCTTTTATGTGGTCACGACTCACAATATAAGAAGATTTGAGAGCAGCTCACCCAGGGTACATTTGTAGTGAGTGTTTGGTGAGCGCTGCAGAGTCCATGCCAGCGGTTAGCAGGGGCAGAGCTGGGTGCAGGTCTCAGGAACTGTGTGTGTGTGTGTGTGTGTGTGTGTGCGCGCGCGCGTGTGTGTGTGTGTACGCACAGGTGTGTGCGTGCATGTGTGTGTCTATATGTGTGTGTATATGTGCGTGCATGTGTGTGCATATGTTCACATATGTGCATGTCTGTGTGTGACTGTGTGAAAGCACCTTCCCAGAGGGGCTCACACAGCCTTGCTTCCCCTAGGAGTATCTACCACGCGGCCGTCTGGTACTATCACCACTGCCAGGACCGGATGCCGATTGTTATGGTGACGGAGGATGAAGAGGCGATTCAGCAGTACGGGAGTGAAACCGAGGGGCTGTTTGTGATTTCCTTCAAGGTATTTCCAGCAGTAATACACACGTGTGTGTGTGTGTGTGTGTGTGTGTGTGTATGTGTGCGCATGTGTGTGTCTCTTCATTTCCTAAGTGGCCCCCCGAAAGATTCCTTTGTGTTCCAGAAAAAAAAACAGTGAAGGAAACTTCAGTGTCATAGCTCTGTCCTTCCCGACTCATTAATCCATTAATTTTCCTTCCAGACAGTTTGACAGTAGCCACGTGGATAGACTCCTGTGACTGTCAGAATCAGCAGCCAGGACTGTGCCAGTGAGCGTAGATACATGTAGATGCTGCCGTGGGCAGACCCAGGCCCCGCCCAGCTGATACTGGCTGTAGGTGCATGTTGCCACAGAGCAGGATGATGCCTAAGGACCATATGAGGAATCTCATGCCTGTATTCTATTGTTCTGACCTAATTAAACGATGGTTTTACGTGGTTCCCTTCCCCGCAATAATCATCACCATTTTTTGGTCATCAAGCACTGTTTCAAGTACATGATTTCATTTAATTCTTTGTTTTTTTTTTAATTAAACACACACACTGTATCACTGTCAACCTGTTGTTCATCAATTTACTCAAGCGGGAGCCAGTAACTTCTCCATTTGTCCCAGCCCTGAGATTTTAGCAGCCTCTCCTTACTTGTCTTTCCTGACGCTGCCATATTAGAGGCTCTTTCAGGGTTGGGGGAATGAGAAATGAGACCTGTTATTATTACTGTTTTTGGCATATCGAATACTCCATGTGGAGCCTGCGAAGACTCTCTACATAAATCCATATGCTTCTGGTGGGGCAAGCCCCTCACCCCACTGCACTTTCTAACCCCTTTATTTCATTTCTGCAGCAACCCTAAGTGGTGAGGACACTGAAACACAGGGAAAGCAAAGCAAACCTCCCAAGGTCGCATTGGCAGAAAGTAGGAGGTTGGTTGGAGCTCGGACCCGGTTGGTGTGACAGCAAAGCTCCTAACCACCAGGCCACACTGCCTCTTTTTCTTTCTTTACTGCGCACAGTCCAGTGTGGCCCACAGTCCAGGCTCTGTGCTCCGGGGTTGCTCCCAATGGTACTCAGGGAACCCTGCGGTGCTGGGGGTGGGAACAGGGTCTCACCACGTGAAGCTGCACTCAGCTCATCGAGCTGCCTCTGCTCTGCCACGGGTGTGTGAGTGCACCTGAAGCAAGGTCCCATCCATCCTGTTTCCCCTCCGTTCCCCATTCCGCCCTTACACTCACAGAGGTACAGGGAGTTTGCAGGTAGAGCGAGGGGAACTACCACATTATTTCTGCTCCGGCTCTCACATCAGTGTGGGGTGCACATCACGGCATTACCGGTGACTGTTTTGTGGACCCTCTGAGTGACACGGTTCTCCTTTCTCCGCGGCTCCTTTTTTGGAAAGTCGAATGCCTGCCCGTCACTCTGAGTGCCGATCCCTTGTCTCCTGTCTTGGCCCCCGGCTGGTAGCGTTTTCTGATTCAGAAGCAAGAATGAGCCCTCCATTAGCCCTGTCACTCCACGGAAAAGTCTGGTTGGATTTTGAATTGTAGATTCTAGAAAGGTTCCCAGGTGCTTGTATTGCTAAAGATTGGCCAATAGAATTTTCTGGGCCCTGCTATAAAAAAGTGCTCAGGCCTGCCAGAGCATTCCAGGGCCCTGGATATTAATGGCGGTGTCACTTGTTTTTTCTGTTGCAATACATCATGTCTCGTTCCTCCAGAAGACAGTTGACTAAAATTACATTTTTCTGCTTTTTGAGAAAATTACTTTTCTTTGTCGCCCAGCAGTGTAGCACCGCTGTGTTTTGTCTAGCGTTTTCTCAGGCAGACCCTGTGACGGGGCCTTCATAAAGGTGAACACTAACAGTGAAAACGAGGGAGTGTGAGGTTCGGAGGAGAAGAAAGGGCAAGGTTTCCCGGGAGAGCCAGGGTAAAGGGGGGAACGCACAAGACCAGAAAGCTCTTGAATCTTGGGGCCAGAGTGACAGGCACAGCGGGGAAGGTACTTGATTTGCATGCAGCTGACCAGGGTTCAATCCCCAGGATCCCAAAGGGTCCCCTGAGCACCACCAAGAGTAATACCTGAGTGCAGAGTCAGGAATTAGCCCTGAGCATCTCTTTGGCCCCAAAACCAAAAACCATAAATAAATAGATTGCAAATTTTTCCTTTTTTTTTTCTTTATAATGTAGGAGTACTGCTATTTATTCAGCCATTGATTAAGCTGATAAAAACGGGCACGAACTCCACATTCTGTAGTACTGTTGTCCCGTTGTTCATCGATTTGCTCAAGTGGGCACCAAGTAATGTCTCCATTGTGAGACTTGTTGTTACTGTTTTTGGCATATTGAATACGTCATGGGGAGCTTGCCAGGCTCTGCCATGAGGGTGGGATACTCTTGGTAGCTTGCCGGGCTCTCCGAGAGGGACAGAGAAATTGAACACAGGTCGGCCGCGTGCAAGGCAAACGTTCTACCCACTGTGTTATCGCTCCAGTCCATCGAAAACTCCACATTACTTATTTTTTTCCTTCAGAATGTTCATTTTATTTTATTTTATCCCTGTGAGATACAGTTATAAAGCTTTCTTGTTTGAGTTTCAGTCATACAATGATCGATCACCCAACCCTACACCAGTCACATCTCCCACCACCAAAGTCCCCAGTATCCCTCCTTCATCCCACCCCTCCCCTTTCCTCTCCCCCAAACTCTCTTTTGTATTGCCTGTTATGAATAGCATAAGATGTCACAGCCACGCTCTCCTGGAATTCTAAAATTTTAGATAATTAGGGTCTAGAGAAATCTCTGCAGCAAGCTGCTCAGTTAGGAGATTCCTCTGTGTGTCTCTGAATCATGGCCGTTAAGGAGTTTAAGTAGCAGCCAGAGGCAGTTTGTGGGTGTGACATCCAGGGTCCCACGGGGATGGGGGGATGAGAAGGGACAGGCCCATCCCCTATCTCTTGGGGCCTGGAGTTTGTCATCTCTGAACCCTCATACCTGCACTTCTCACTGGATTCTGATAGTTGGTGACCGCCAGGGTTCTTAGGAGGCAGGTGAAGGGACGACCCCTGCCCTTGTCTGAGGCACCTGGTGAAGTCGGCCTGGATTAAAGTCCAGAGGCATCTCTGCAGTGAGCTGCTCGGTTTGGAGAGTCTTTTGTGTGTCTCTGGATCATAGCCCTTATTTCCATCTTTTCCAGAGAAATAAACCATTGGCTTATGTGCCGTCGCCGGCCCTAACTTCGGCTTTTGATCTCTTTCAGCATTTATGGGTCTCTGAAATAGGGCCAATAAATGAGCATGTATTGCTGAGCCAGAGGTGGTTTGTGGGCGTGGCTCCCACATACCTAACTTTTGGCTGTTTAATTTCTTGGTAAACTTGGACCCAAGTTGTTGGGATCCAGCCAAAGGCACAGCAGCAATTTTGGGGTGTCAGGAGGCCTGGAGGCACCATCCGGCTGCTGATGCACTCACCCCACAGGTACAGGTTGGCCTGCTGGCAGCACATACCCCTGGGAAATGTTTCTAGGTGAAGAGAGGGAAGGGACCCAGCTGTATGGGGGTGGCAGGGGTGGGTGGAAGGAACGGTGGGGTGCCCAAGGGCTGCTCTGGGGCCTGTGGGGAGCCAGGGCAGCCTGCTCACACCAGGGTACGGAGCTTTTTGTACGACACCCGCACAGAAGCATCTTCTGACCAGGTTTGCCTTGGGCCTTTCTCGACTGCAGAATTACCTGGACAATTTCTGGCCCGATTTGAAGGCTGCGCATGAGCTCTGTGAGTCCATTCTTCAGTCCCGGCGGGAGCGGGAGCACGAGGGGCAGGAGAGCCACGGCAAGGAGTACCCCGAGCACCTGCCCGCCGAGGTCTTGGAGGCCGGCATCAAGTCCGGACGCTACATCCAGGTGAGGCATTGGACCAGTCAGCATGTTCTCTTGTTTCAAGTGGGCTGTGGGGGTCTCCGGCGAGGGGCATCCCGTACTTCCTGTAGACACTGTGGTCCCGCCCGTACTGCCCCATTGTTAATTGGGTTCCACGGAACATCATGTTGGTAACCTCGTAAACACCTCCTCATACTAAGAGAGGAAACAGATGTGTTGGGGCCAGAACCATAGTACAATGGGTAGGGCATTTGCCTTGCACACAGATGAACCAGATTTGATCCCCGGCATCCCATAGGGTCCCCCAAGCCCCACCAGGAGTTAGCCCTGAGCAACACTGGGTGTGGCAAAAAAAACAACAAAAAGTAAGATTATGTTTTGGTTGTTTCAGGGGTTGGGACCAAATCCAGTGGTGCTGGGGTTGACACCTGGCAGGGCAGGTCAGGCTCAAAGGGGCGGGCACACTTTAGTCACCTCATTTCTGTGGGGTCTGCCCACGCCTCTCCAGGTGACAGCCCCCAAAATCCAGATTCCAGCCGTTGTTGGCCTCTGGGAAGCGCCATCAGTGGTCTCGCAGCCATCAGCCTGTCTGTGCGGAGATTTGTGTATCCACCACTCAGGCCAAGGAACTGTCTCACAGGGTGGAGTTAGGGGATACAGACAGACCCCGGGGGCTTTTCACTATGTGAGCAGCCAAGGCTTCTGACTTGTAGTCAAAGTCAAGTTAATGGCATTCCTGGGAGGGTATTTTGAAGATTTCTTTTTCTTTTTAGATCATACCCAGTGATGCACAGGGGTTACTTCTGGCTCTGCACTCAGGAATACTCCTGGCAGTGCTCAGGGGACCAAATGAGATGCTGGGAGTCGAACCCAGGTCAGCCACATGTAAGGCAAATGCCTGCCTGCTGTACTATCGCTCCAGCCCCTATTTTGAAGATTTTTGAGTTTATTTTTGTTGTGGGGGCCATACACCACAGTGCTCAGGGGTCACTCTACTTGAGGTTGTTATTGAGGGGTTCGTAGGGGAACCTGTGGTACCGAGGATCAAATCTGGACCTTCTGTACACAGAATCCAGTGAGGCTTCTCTCCAGCCCTGCATTTTGAATTTTTTTTTTAATTACTGGGGCCAGAGCTATACCACAGATGGTAGGGTGTCTGCCTGGCATGCAGCCCACCTGGGTTCAATCCCTAACATCCTACATGGTCCCCTGAGCACTGCCAGGAGTGATTCCTGAGCATAGGGCCAGGAAAAAACGCTGATTATTGCTGGGTATGACCCAAGAACAAAACCAAAAAAATTTTTAAAAAAATAAAGACCATTCACTATTAAGTTAAGATAGATCCCCGCACTTTCAATACTTGGTATGGCCAAAGGTAGTTCAGAGAGAATGTTCTGGAGAATAGAAACCTAGGTGATAGCTATTGTCCCTGCAGGGGTCAGAGAGCCAGGGATGCAGTTCAGCCACAGCTTGCTTACATTTGTGAGACCAGGGTTCGATCCCCAGCACAGAGAGTGAAAGGGAGAAACCAATAAACTCTTATGAAAATATATTTTCATGTTTTTTTTTTTCAATCATGGCGGGGCACACCCAGTAATGCTCAGGGGTTACTCCTGGCTCTGCACTGAGGAATTACTCCTGCAGTGCTCAGGGAACCACATGGGATGCCAGGGATCAAACCCTGAGTCAGCCATATGCAGGGCAAACACCCTACCCATGGTACTATCGCTCCAGCCCCCAATTTTCATGTTTTATAAAAACGTGTCCTGGAGGTAAACCTGGAAGAAAACTATTTACCTTGCTTTTTATTATGTTCTCAGGGAATTTTGAATGTCAACAAGCATAGAGCACAAATAGAAGCTTTTGTTCGACTTCAAGGAGCCAGCAGTAAAGATTCAGGTGCAGTATGGACATTACATTCATTTTCATGATTTTTTAAAACTTTGATGTTGCAGTCAAGAAAGCCTAGTTTGGGGGCTGGAGAGATTGTCCAGAGATTAAGGTGCTGGCCTTGGATATGGCCAACTTTGTTTAGGTGACTAGCCCCGCATGTGGTCTACCGAGCCCCACCAGGAGTGATCCCTGAGCACAGCACCAGGAGTAAGCCCTGAGCACTGCCAGGTGTGCCCCTCCCCGCACCCCCAAGACTGAAGCTAGCTAATATTTTATTGAGTGTTTAGCCCCTAATGTGACTGTCCTTGTCTTCCACACGTGTGGGGATATCCAAGGTTACATGGTAGGAAACATACACAGCAGCCCAGGTGCAAGCCAGCACCACACTCCCCCAAAGCACAGCTGCCAGCAGCAGGGCAGAGAGTGATTCCTAAGACGTTGTTCCACGGTGTCTTCATGCGCCTCACTTGGGTCATCTCCAAAGCAGTGAAAATGAAAGAACAGGGGCCAGAGCGGTCAGACCACAGGGAGGGCATCTGCCGTACCCCCGGCCGACCCAGGCTCAATCGTCAGCATCCCACATATTCCCTTGAGCACCGCCAGGGCTGATTCCTGAGTGCAGAGCCAGGAGTAATCCCTGAGCACTTGCTGGGTGTGGCCCAAAAAAACAGAACTAAATAAATAAAGTGAAACACGGAGAAATCATTTTATAATAATTCTTAGCTCTGCAGTGACAGGGTGGGGTATAAACCCTGGGCTTGGGTTGCATGTCTGGGTAAAGCTGTCCAAAGATGGGATGACGGTCACTGCTGGCGTCTCAGCCAGCGGTGAGGGCAGCCCTATGTGCGCATCATCAGGGTGACGGGGTGGTGCATCCCCGCAGCTGCTTATCTTGCTGGGGGCTATTCAGGGGTGGCATCCCATTGGCTCTTCCCCAAACACAGGTTTGGTCAGCGACATCCTGATCCACGGCATGAAAGCAAGGAATCGCTCCATCCACGGAGACGTGGTGGCTGTGGAGCTGCTTCCTCAGAGTGAGTGGAAGGGAAGGACGGCGGCCCTGTGCGAGAACGACGGCGAGGACAAGGCCTCGGGCGAGGTGCCCAGTGAGCCCATGCCCACAGGTGAGGGGGCTGTGCCCAAGATGAGGGGGAGCCACGTCCTGAGGTGAGGAGGCCGTGTCCTCAGGTGAGGGGGCCGTGTTTGATCCCGTGTTAAATATCGGTGCCTGTCAAACTTATTGGGCAGGCAGATGTTTAAGCCTCTGTACTCATGGCTGTGCTGGGGGCAAGTGGGGGCACTGCTTTCCTGCCCTGTGAGGGGGCTGTTCACCCATGAAGCCTCGTTGTCTTTGCTCTTTCCCCGAAGGCAGAGTGGTGGGCATCCTGCAGAAGAACTGGCGGGATTATGTGGTGACCTTCCCATCCAGAGAAGAGGTCCAGTCCCAGGGCAAAAACGCTCAGAAAATCCTCGTCACACCTTGGGATTACAGAATTCCCAAAATTCGAATCAGCACCCAGCAAGCAGGAACGCTCCAGGTAGCTGCCGTGCCGCCCGCCCTCTGGTCTTTGCCAGCTCATGAGCAGGACCAGGGGACATGAGTGATTCGGTTGCTTACGAAGGGATGAATCACGGATGCATCTGGCATTTGAGATTCAGGGTTGGTCTGTTTGTTTTCCAAATCTGAATATATTGAGCCATCTATTAAGTAGTCCTTGGTTAATAAATGAAGGCCCGAGAGGAGCTGTCCTCAAAAGAGCTGTGCAGGACAGCGATGGAGAACATACATTACCCGGCTGTCCAGCCCGGAACTTTCCAGAGAGACACTCTGCCAACACTAACGAGCTTTTCCCAGGGAGAGTGCAGTAGAAATACGATCGGCCCGCCCTGGGCAGATGATGTAGTGCCGCTTCACGGATCGATTACCGGGAGGGAGTAAGTGCGGGAGACGTCGTCAGCGAGGAAGTCCAGAGTAACCTTTCTGTTCCCTTAATTGGACTTGCCTAGTATTTTGCGGAATGAGAACTGGCTACACAGTGTCCACAGCCACAACCTGGCCATCCTGCGTTGAGGCCAGAGGCAGGCTCGCTGTGGACACTGCAGCCCTTGCTCTCCCTTTCCACAGCCGGGATGCTGGAGACGGCGAGGTGCGTGCAGGTCACTCCGACCCCCACCCCCCCAGGTGTCTTCAGAGACTTAGGGGGAGTATCTCCCACACGCATGAAATGAATTTTATTTGGAAATTTGATTTGAGTGATGTGACATTGGATTTTTTCCCTTCTGTCACCCATGTTTAACTAGAATGCATTGTAGAGCTGGGGGTACCACTCGGTGAGGGAGGCCCTGGGCTCAGTTCCCAGCACCGGAAAATGATAAATAGGAAACAGAGAGATAGCCCAGCAGGGATGCCTCTTGTCATGTGTGTGGTTTAATCCTTAGCACCCCATAGGGTCTCCCCAGGAGTGATCCCTGATCACAGAGCCAGGAGGGAGTATTGCCAGGTGTGGTACAAGAATTTAAAAAAAAAAAAAAGGCTTGGGAAGGTGCCTATCAACACGGCAGACTGGTGGTGTGTGTGTGTGTGTGTGTGTGTGTGTGTGTGTGTGTGTGTGTGTGTCAGGAAGGGGGGATTGGGGAGATGCGGGAAGGGAGTTGGGATATGGGAGGGAGCCTGGGAACACTGGTGGAGGGAAGTTTACACTGGTGGTGGGCTCAGTGCTGCAATGTTATATGTCTAAAACCCAACTATGAATAACATTGTAAATCGGTCACGGTCACGGTCCTTTCGCGTTGTTCATCGATTTGCTCGAGCGGGCCCAGTAACGTCTCCATCATGAGACTTGTTGTTACAGTGTTTGGCATATTGAATATGTCACAGGTAGTTTGCCAGGCTCTGCCATGCGGGCGAGATACTCTCTGTAGCTTGCCAGGCTCTCTGAGAGGGGTGGAGGAATCGAACTCGGGTCGGCCATGTTGGCCGCTTGTAAGGCAAACGCCCTACCGCTGTGCTATCGCTCCAGCCCATCGTAAATCACTGTGCTTTAATTTTAAAAAATGGAAAAAAAGAAGTTTAAAAAAAAACATTTCAAATTTCAGAAATAAACATCAAATGTGACGTTACCGCAAGGTAACATCCCATTTTTTTTTAATTTTTATTAGTGAAACATCATGAGGTACAGTTATAGACTTAAACAAATTTTTGTGCATGGGTTTCAGTTATACAATGATCAAGTACCCATCCCTCCACCAGTGAACATCCCATTTTTAAAGAAATATTTTTAAAAATAAATAATTTAAGTCTGTGGAAATTTCCCCCAAATAAGAAAGGAAATAAAAGATAATAATAATAATACTAACAGTGCATAACAGGGGCCGGAGTGATAGCACAGCAGGGAGGGCATTTGCCTTGCATGTGGCCAACCTGGGTTCAATTCCCAGCATCCCATATGGTCCCCTGAGCACCACCAGGAGTAATTCCTGAGTGCATGAGCCAGGAGTAACCCCTGTGCATCACCAGGTGTGACCCAAAAAGAAAAAAAAAAGCTAACAGAGCATAACCATTTTCTTTCTTTAATGGGCTTCATTGTCCACCTATTTGCTATTTGGTAGAGAAATGGGCCGCCTCCCTTCGAAGTGTCAGCCAGGAATTTCCTTCCCGCCCGGCCACTTTGGCCATGCAAGCAGCTTCACAGGCCAGCTGCCGTTCCTCCCCACCATTGTCCCAGTGCTGACATATCCCTTTCTCCCGCTCTGCAGGACTTCAGGGTGGTCGTGCGCATCGATTCCTGGGAGGCCACATCCCTGCACCCTAACGGACATTTTGTGCGCGTGTTAGGAAGGATCGGTGACCTGGAAGGGGAAATCGCCACCATCCTGGTGGAAAACACCATCTCCGTGGTTCCGTTTTCAGAAGCTCAGGTCAGACGCCGCGAGTCATCAGGGTGGGTAGGGGTAGGGGACAACATTTGTATGTTTTCTGGGGATTTTTGTGGGAGCAGAAGGGGTCACACCCCGGCATGGCTCAGGGCTTACTCCTGGCTCTACTCTCAGGAATTACTCCAGGTGGGGTGCAGAGACTGAACTGGTCCATGTGCAAGGCTTGGCCTCCCTGCTGTCTTATTACTCTGGCCCTAGTACATTTTCTTTTTGTTGTTTTCTGCCAGCCACATTGGGAGGCCAGAGATATAGGACAAATCTTTCTGTTTATCTGGTATTCGGGTCCCCTGAGATGGCAGCAATAGGTGCAGAGTCCGTTTTGACCGACTGGCAGCTGAAAGGGCCACATTTCCAGTTGCACCTAAGAAATGGCTCTGTGGAGTCGAGACCATCCAGCCCCAGCAGTAGCACTGCCCCTGGGTACAGGTCTGTCGGTCATTCACCCAGCAGCCTGCAGCCCTGACAGTGGGCCAAACAGTCACGCTCACACCGAAGCAGTTTTTGTAACCTTTACAGAAAACAAATGCCCACAAACACGAGCCGTTGGCAATTTTCCCTTATTTTTATGGTCTTTTAAAATCCTCATCCATCTATTATTTTAATAGCTGTATTCATGGTGTGCACATGCTATTTTCTGTTCTGCTTCTTTCATTTAAAATGACGCCTGTATATTGACATCGCCTACTTATTTTTAATAGTTATGACAAATTACTGCATATTGATGTGCTCCTGTCCGCTTAAGTATTGCTCAATTTTGAGCATTTGGACTATTTAATTTTTCAGTATTCTGAAAAAGCTCCTTCAGACATTTTTACAAACATTGCTTTCTCGATTATTTCCCTTGGAATGTAATCCTTAACGTGAGATTTACCAGTCAAAGGATATAAAAAATTTAAATCGCTTTTGTTATGGATGGCTGATCGCTCTTCAGAAATGTTGGAGCACTTTGCATTGCCCTCAAGAGTACATAGGTTTTCATGTTCTCTTTGTGCTTCTTGTCAGAACAATAGTTATCATAGTAGTAGAAGATTTTTGAATATTTTATATTATTAAATTTTTATGCTTAATGTTAATTTCTGGAAATTATTTGTCGACTTGTCTTGACATCATTTAGTGAAAATGTTAAACTTAGAATAAAGCATGAATTAGACTTCGCAGCACTAGAATTCTCTTTTCCTGTTTAGCCTACTTATCTGCAAACTGATGACTTAAAGAGATAATAATGGAGAAAAATAATGCCCTAGATTGGCCTTGGTTAAATTATCATTAAAGAACAATTTTTCGGTATTTGCAACATATTGATTTTTCCCCCCCACGACTTGAAGTAAAAGCTCAGCTTCCTTTGAATAAAGGGGTCCTTCAGAAAAGTGGCAGGCTGGGTCAGAGCAATAGATAGTACAGCAATAGATAGTTCATCTCGCACACAGCTGGCCCAGGTTCAATCGCTGGCATTCCATACGGATACAGTCCCCCGAGCACTGCCATGAGTAATTCCTGAGTCCAGAGCCAAGAGTCCTGAGCAGGGGCTGGAGCGATAGTATAGCACGTGGGGCATTTGCCTTGCACGCGGCCCACTCAGGTTGGATCCCCGGCATCCCATATGGTCCCCTGAGCACAGCCAGGAGTAATTCCTGAGTGCAGAGTCAGGATTAACACCTGAGCATCACTGGCTGTAACCCAAAAAGAAAAAAAAAAAAGGGTGGGCTGCCTTCTGAGCCTTCCTTTGGTCTTGCTCCCGCCCCATAACAAAAGAAGCAGGTGGGTGCGAGACAGTTTTGACAGACTGCAGGCAGCAGCCCTGTCACCTCTCACAGATCCCAGCACCTCGTGCACCCGGAAAGCACCTTGTGGGTCACAGGGAGCCATCATAGGCTCGTGCCTCAGGTGCTTGGGAGAGAATGGAACTCTGGGAGGCCTCCAGAGACTCTCAATTGTTCTGGAAGCCCGTGGGATGTCATTGCCACTGACTTGGCCTCTCGTGTCACAGATGTGTGAGATACCCGTGAACACCCCAGAAAACCCCTGGAAAGTGAGTCCCGAAGAAGAGCGAGTACGCAGAGACCTGCGGAAAACGCACCTGGTGTTCAGCATCGACCCCCAGGGCTGCGAGGACGTGGACGACGCGCTCTCAGTTCGGACCCTGAGGAGCGGGAACCTGGAGCTGGGCGTCCACATCGCCGACGTGACCCACTTTGTGGCAGCAAACTCTTATATTGATGTCGAGGCCAGAACGAGGTAAGAATGCCGGCCGGCACTGCGGGGGGGACTCCTGTGTCTGGCCCTTGTCCCCACCCTGATGCCCCAGACATATTTCTGTTTGGTGCCACATTGAAGCACCTTACCAACAAAGGAAGTTCAAGATCCCTGCCCCTCTCCTTTGGAAATTTTGTAACCTTGCCCTCAGCCTCTCCATTTTTTTTTATTTGTTTTAATGAATCACCATGAGATACAATTATAGACTTACAAATTTTTGTGATTACGTTTCAGTCATACAATGACCGAGTATCCATCCCTCCACCAGTGCCCATTTTCCACCACCAATGGTCCCAGTAACCCTCCTGCCACCGCCACCCCTTCCCAATCCCTGTCTCTGTGACAGACATATTCCCTCTTAGTCTCTCCTTTTTTGGAGGGTGTCATGGTATATAACATAGGCACTAAGCAGCCATCATGTTTGGTCCATAGCCTACTTTCAGCACGCATCTCCCATCCCGGGCCATCCCTCCAACCATCATTGACTTAGTGGTCTCTTCTCCATCCCACCTGCCTTTACCCCCAGCACATGAGATCAGCTTCCAAGCCATGGGGCCACCCTCCTGCTTTTATCTCTACTCTCCTTGGGTGTTATTCTCCTGTGATGTTACTTTATAATGGCCTCTCCATTTTTCATTTTTTTAAAATTTTTATTAGTGAAACACCATGAGGTACAGTTGTTGACTTACAAATTTTTGTAAGTCTTGGGTTTCGATTATACAATGATCAAATACGCATCCCTCCACCAGTGCCCATTTTCCACCACCATGGATCCCAGTATCCCTCCCACTCCCATCTCCCCCATCCCACCCTGACTCGGTGGCAGGGCATTCCCTTTTGTTCTCTCTCTCCTTTGGGGTGTTGTGGTCTGCAAAAGAGGCATTGAGTGGCAATCATATTCGGTCCATAGTCTACTTTCAGCATGCATCTCCCATCCTGGGAGGATCCTCCAAACACCCTTTATTTGGTGCTCCCTTCTCTATCCGAGCTGCCCTTTCCCCTAGCATGCCCGGCTGGCCTCTAAGCTATGGAGTAAGTCTCCATTTATCAGATGACCTTTCACCATTGTTTCCTTTTCGATTGAAGCCAGTTAACATCTCCCAGCAGTATCACCCTGTTCCATAAAAACACTGGGCCATCACCCTCTTCATGTTCCTTCCAGGACTAAGATCCCAGTCACTTGTTCTGTCTTCGGTCCGTGGGAGACTGTTCTCCCAGAGCACTGTGGTTTAGAGTGGGGGCCTGAGGGTATCTTCATTCCCCAGCTGCTGTGCTTGGGGAAGCAGCAGCGGCCTTGGGGTTTTTCCCTGGTAGGGCCCGTCCCAGTCACCTCCAGTCTCCGCAGTTCTGCTTCTTGCTGCTGAGGGTCAATGTCCCCGCCACATGTCATTCCCAGGGCCACCACCTACTACTTAGCCGACCGCCGCTACGACATGCTGCCCTCGGTGCTCAGTGCGGACCTGTGCTCCCTCCTGGGTGGCGTGGACAGGTGAGTGTCTGGGCTCCTCAGGCTCCTTTCCAGGCTACTCTCCCGCCCCGCCCCTGCTCTCTTCCCCACATCACTGCTTCAGGCCCCTCGTCCTCCAGCTCCCCTTGTCTTCCTCTCCAGCTCCTCCCTCTGTTCTTGCCTTTTTGGATTTGACATATTTTTGTTTGTTTATTTGTTTTTCTTTTTGGATCAGGATCACAATCATCCTGTGATCATCCTGTTGTTTGTCAATTGCCTCGAGCAGGCACCAGTAAGTCTCCTTCGTCCTAGCTCTGAGATTTTAAAAAGTGCCATATTCAAGGCTCTTTCAGAGTTAGGAGAATGAGACCCATCATTGTTACTAGTAGTTGGCATATTGGGTATACCACAGGGAGTTTGCCAGACTCTGCCGTGTGGGCAGGTTACATTCGGTAGCCTGCCAGGTTGTCCAAAGTAAGAATGAGATAATAAGATATCTTCCAGGAGCTGGGTTTTATAGTCTTCGGGTCTTGGCCATTGATGAGATTACACAGAGCTGGGGGGCGGGGGGGGGGAGTTGGTGGGTGTGACCCCGGCCTAATGGAGGATGGAGGATCTGGGTGGAGGATGCTCAGCCCCGATCCAAGCAGGCTTGGAGATCTCAGCCCCGGGACCCGCATGCCTTTGTTCCTCTGCCAGTACCTTCATGCGTGTGGAGAGTGGTCCCAGCATGGTTGTGGCTGGTTCTGGAGGTCTTTGGCTGCCAGGGCTCTGCTCGGGGCAGGGAGGGAAACTCAACCCAACCCCCTCCAAGGTGCCCCGGCGAGGACAGCCAGGTGTGGGGGCAGGAGACTGCGCTGTTCTCTTCCGGGAGCTGGGTTTTATTTTTGGATAATACCCGGTGATTCACAGGGGTTACTCCTGGCTCATGCACTCAGGAATTACTCCTTGCGGTGGCCGAGGACCATATGGGATGCTGGGAATCGAACCTGTCTTGACCAACCTGGGTTGATCGCCTCGTGCAAGGCAAACACCCTACCCGCTGTGCTATCGTACTATCACTCCAGCCCCGGATTTGACATGTCTATTTTATTTTTGCTGTATGGAGATCAAACCAAGGACCTCACTCACGCAGGGCAAATGGTCCACAGCTGAAATATGTCTCCTGCCCTGTTGCTGACTTTTTGTTTGTTTGGGTTTTGGGTTTGGGTTTTGTCCCCCTGGGGACAGGGGGACAGTAGGGTGGGAGGGACAGTGGGTGTTATCTGGTATAAAACATACACTCAGCCTGTTGATCTGTTTCTCTGGCCCCTGTTGGCTTTTTTGCTGGTGGGGGCAGGAGTGTTTTCAGACCACACCCAGCAGTGCTCAAAGCTGACTCCTGGCCCAGTGGTCAAAGATCACTTCTGGCAGGCTCTGGGGTTCTGGGGAATGGAAACTGGGTCAACTGTACTCTCTCCAGCCCCTCAGTATCTTGCGCTCTTTAAAATATGTAAGAAGTTGAAAACTTGAGGGGAAATGTTGTGAGGGAATTTTTTTGCTCAAAATCTTTTTGTAACCTATGAACTTTGACTGTTTGGACTTACATGGTTGTTATTACTATTTTTTACAACAAATAAGCAAGATTTATATTCCCACTGCCAACATTTGAAAATATTTGTACCCCACAGCCATGCCAGTGTTCCATGTTCTGTTTTGGTTTTTTTTTTTTTTTTGTATCTTTGCCCTTCTGATGGTTCCATGTTCTGTTTTTGGGGTTTTTTTTTTTTTTGTATCTTTGCCCTTGTGGTGGATGAAGGTGGTCTTAGAGTGGTTTTAATTTGTATTCTCCTACTGGAAATAAAGGTAAACATTTCAGTCACATCCTTTTCTGCAAACTCTTTCATGGTCCTTGCTCATATTCCCTTGGAGCTCTTGGTTTTTGCTTGTTTTTTGGGTTTGTTTGTTTTTTGGGTCACACCCGGCAGTGCTCAGGGGTTACTCCTGGCTGTGCACTCAGGAATTACTCCTGGTGGTGCTTGGGGGACCATATGGGATGCCCGGGAATCGAACTCAGGTCGACCGTGTGTAAGGCAAACACCCTGTCCGCTGTGCTATCGCTCCAGCCCCTGGGTTGCTGACTTCTAAGGGTGCTGTACAGACACCCTTGATGTTCAGGGAGTTGCGTGTGGCGAGTTGTATGGTGCTGAGGCTCAAACCCAGGGCTGACATGTTACAAGGTAAATGCCCAACTGCTGAGCTCCGTCCCTGGACCTCAATGGTTTATTGAATTTTCTTTTTTCTTTTTTGCTGTGGGTGCACGGACTTGGGGCACACCTGGCAGTGCTGGGGGACCGTGCTATACTGGGGATGGAGCCCAGGCCTCCAGTGCGCAGAGCCCACTCACAGGCCTATAAGCTCTCTCTCGGCCTTCCCACCCCCAGTATTGTTTTGGGTCACACCTGGCAATGCTCAGGTTGTTACTCCTGGCTCTGTACTCAGGAATTACTCCTGGCGGTGCTTGGGGGACCATGTGGGTTGCCGGGATTGAACCCAGGTCAGTCTCGTGCAAGGTAAACACCCTACCCACTCCACCGCCCCACCCCACCCCCACCAGTATCGTTTTTAATTGAATTATTTGGTGGAACAGTGACTCTTTACATGATGCCTTTTTTTGCCCCCCTGCTTCAACATATCCTCAACACTGACACTATGAAATTGGAAAGGCTTTCTTTTTTGTTTTATTTTGGTTTTGTTTGTTTGTGGGCCATACCCAGCAATGCTCAGGGATTACTCCAGGCTCTGCACTCAGGAATTACTCCTGGCAGTGCTTAGGGGACCATATGGGGGTGCCGGGGATCAAACCCAGGTCAGCCGTTTCCCGGGCAAGCATCCTTCCCACTGTCCTAACACTATAGTTTTGTTCTTTTTTCACTGGTGTGTCCAAGCAACTTGCTTCTCCCTGTGTTGTGCCATCAGTCTGAGGTGACTTGTTGCATGCAAATCATTTCAGATTTGCTCAGGGCTCAACAGAATTGCCTCAGTGTGGTTTTGAGGGTTTTGCAGGGCATGGGTACAAAGGAGAGGTGCACACCCAGTGGTGCTTAGCAGTTACCCCTAGCTCTGGGCTGTCCTCATGTCCAGATAATGCTCCAGCCCCGTAATCAGAAGCAGATCTGAGGGGCAGCAGCTGTGTCCCTGCTGCCTCCCAACTGCCCAAGCCTCACACAGACCTTGCCAGCCCGAGCATCTGGAAAGCGCCTTGCTGGTTCGCTTGGTGCCTCACTCCTGGCCGTGCCGTGCCAGGGAGCAAGTGGGACTCCTGCACATAAAACGTGCACTCTGGCACTTGGAACTCCCCAGCCTGAAGTGGGTAACATTTTAAACTGATGTTTAAGGGGTTGGAGCGATAGTACAGCAGCATGTAGGGCATTTGCCTTGCACACGGCCAACGCGGCTTCAATTCCCAGCATCCCATATGGTCCCCTGAGCATCGCCAAGAGTAATTAATTCGTGAGTGTAGAGCCAGGAATAACTCCTGAGCACTGCTGGGTGTGACCCAAAAAGCAAAATAAATAATAAAAAGAAGAAAGAAAGAAAGAAAGAAAGAAAGAAAGAAAGAAAGGAAGGAAGGAAGGAAGGAAGGAAGGAAATAAAGCAAAATAAAATAAAATAAAATGTTTAAGTGGAAGCAGTTTGAGATACTTGAGCAGAGACTTCAGGCATCCCACATGCAAGGCATGGCATTTGTTCCAAGTTACCTTCAGGGCCTAGCTCTGTTCCTTTAAAAAATAGAAGAATTTTGGCCAGAGAGATAGTACAGCTTGGACTGGGTGCTTGCCTTGCCTGAGGTGGACCCAAATCATGTCTCTGGCATTGCATATGGTCCCCTGAATACCGCTAGAGGTCAGCACAGAGCCAGGAGTAAGCCCTGAGCACAGCTGGGCATGGCACCAAAACACCACCAAAAAAAAAGGTGGTAGGAGGGGCTGGAGTGATAGCAGGGGCTGGAGTAGTTCCTGAGTGCAGAGCCAGGAACCCAGTGCTCGCTGAGTGTGACCCAAAAAGCAAAAAATAAGTTGGTGGGAGAAGAATGGGAAAATGATCGCAGTGGGCTGGAGCGATAGCACAGCGGGTGGGGCATTTGCCTTGCACGCGGCCGACCCGGGGTTCAATTCCCAGCATCCCATATGGTCCCCTGAGCGCCACCAGGAGTGATTCCTGAGAGTAAAGCCAGGAGTAACCCCTGAGCATCGCCGGGTGTGACCCAAAAGGCAAAATAAATAATAAAAAGAAGAAAGAAAGGAAGGAAGGAAGGAAGGAAGGAAGGAAGGAAGGAAGGAAATGATTGCAGTGTCTCTGGTCCTTCCAGGTACGCCGTGAGTGTCATGTGGGAGCTGGACAAGACTTCGTATGAGATCCAGAAGGTGTGGTACGGCCGCACCATCATTCGGTCCGCGTACAAACTGTCCTACGAGGTGGCGCAGGAGCTCCTAGATGGGAACAGCCGCGCGGTGGACAACATCCCAGAGCTCCAGCAGCTGGATGAGAAGAGCAAGCAGGAGCGGCTCGAGGGGCTGGCGGAGGCCATCAGCATGCTGACTGCCATTGCCCGGTACGTCCGCGCCCAGCGCGCCCACCGCGGGGCTCTGGAGCTGGAGGGGGTCGAGGTGCACGTGCAGCTGGACGGCAAGAAGAACATCCACGACCTGGTCCCCCGGCAGCCCCTGGAGGTGCATGAGACCGTGGCCGAGTGCATGATCCTGGCCAACCACTGGGTGGCCAAGAAGATCTGGGAGAGCTTCCCCCAGCAGGCCCTGCTGCGCCAGCACCCGCCTCCACACCAGGAGTTCTTCGCTGAGCTCCGGGAATGCGCGAAGGCAAAAGGCTTCTGCATAGACACACGGTAACTCCCCACCACAGCGATGGGAAGTGCCTCGGGTCTCTGAGGGCTGGAACGTGGATGGAGGATTCCAGTGGAAACACGGTTCTCTACGCAGACACTTGCCCTTCATTTTGCACTTCATGACGCATAGCGAAAGGGCCCCAGGGAGGACTCCCACCTCCCCCAACACTACCACTTTCTCTTCCCTTGCAGCTGTTAAGTGTTCCTTGGTGGCTGGGAGCGAGCAGGTGTGATGTCGGGGGACCCCACGGGTGTCTCACACGAGTCAGGAGGAGAGAAAGACAGTCACCTTCTCCCCCTCCGCCTCAACCACATGGGACCCACTGGGAAGACTAAGACAGGTCAAGTCTATGATGAGCCCCTGCTCGGCATGGGCACAAGGTGGCGTTGAGGCCACACCTGAAGCCCATTTGGTCTGCCAGGCACGGGAGTTGGTCCCCATCACCCACTTTCTCGGGGAGCCACGGACTCAGGCTAGGGCAAGGATTTGCTCTTTGCAGGAAAAGAGAGGTCAATCCCAGGACTTGCCCTGCGTTTTCAGGGTTCTTGTCTCGCTCACAGGAAAGAATTTCAGGAGTAGACAAGCAGTGAAGTAAAACAGATTTTATTTGGAGGGTTTTTTGAAAGTGTGGAGGGGGAGAGAATGAGAAAGAGAAAGAGACCGAGTTCCGGGCTCAAGAGAGAATGCAGGCTTCTCCAAGGGCAGAGAAAGCCTTGAATGGGCTCTTGGGCTGGCTTTGTATAGGCTCTCCTAGGGTCATCTTGATCTGGATAGTTCTAGAGTCTTCTCAGGGCTGAATGATTCAGGGTTTGCGAGGACAGGAACCTCATGAGGAGGGGTCCAATCTCCTCAGGGTCCAGTGATGGTCTTATCAGGTCTTTGTTTTTCATATGCACAAGGTGGATCAGTCTCCAAGTTTTCCATTGACCTAAGTTTTGTTGACCTAAGTTCATTTCCAAAGGCCTTTCCCTGTCTACCTGCCTACATCAGGTGCTCACTTGGTCAGGGCCCCACGAGGCACACCAGTGACCAGGGGAGGTGCGGGCTCAGAGTCTCTCCCTTGTGCCGAGCCTGGGAGCACTGCGCAGTAGAGCACTGTGCCAGTGTAGAAGTCATCACACAGGTGGGAATGTTTGCCTTCCCTCCACACACAGGTCCTTTGACTCTGCATGTCCAGGCTGAAATAGTTTCGCCATCAGAAATGGTGTCTGGGGAGACCCAGGGATGGCTGAGAGGCAAGGGGCCCCCCTGCCTTCTAGGCCTGAGGCAGGGATCCCGTCCCAGTGTGGGCCACATGCACCAGGCAAAGACCCAGCGGCTCTGACACGTGCATGGCCTTAGCTAAAGAGTGGCACCCCTAAAAGAGAAGGGAAAGGGGAAATGATCAAATTTAAATGGTAGAGAACTCTAGAATGTTTTGTATTAACCACCATTCAAATCTTTAATCCGGTAGATATTCTTGCCTTAGTCTTCTGACTGTCTTTGGTCTAGTGGAGTTCCGTCTGCACACTGAGCTCACGGGCTAGTTCAGAACTGGCCTTTCTGCTGTCTGTAGTACATACGCGAAGTCTGGAAGGTGGACTGGCCACCCAGTCAGGCTCCGCTGCCCCTGGTCAGAGCAGAATCGTCCCACCCCGCCATCACTCTTTACTATTTAAGAAATGTACTTAGATGCTTCAACAAAACTTTGCTTTGTATAAATGTTAAAAGCTGGAAAGAGTTGCTTCTGAACCGTGTCTGGAATCAATAACTACTGTTCGGACTCCTGAGCCAAGGGTTCCCCTCAGGGTGCTGACATGGTGGTCACTGCTGGGGCCTGACTCAAGGGTCTTCCAACTCTTGTTGGCAGGTCCAATAAAACACTGGCTGATTCCCTGGATAACGCCAATGACCCAGACGACCCCATCGTCAACAGGCTGCTCCGGTCTATGGCTACGCAGGCCATGTCCAACGCTCTATATTTCTCTACAGGATCATGTGCAGAGGATGAATTCCATCATTATGGTAAGTCGGCAGGTGCTTTGGTCCCAGGGTTCTGCTGTGCCAGGGATCAATCCCAGGGTCTCACATGTGATAGGCATGTGTTATGCAGCCCCGGAGCATAGCCCCAGCCTAGAATGTCTCTTTGTATGCCTATAACCTTGAACAAGTTGTTTATAAATGTTTTGTTTATCTTGATCTCGTTTTCTTTTCAAAGGTCTTGCATTAGATAAATACACGCACTTTACTTCTCCAATAAGAAGATATTCGGATATTATAGTACACCGGTTGTTACTGGCTGCCATTTCAAAAGATGAGAAAATGGAAATTAAGGAAAAGTTGTTCAACAACAAAGACCTTGAGGAATTATGCAGACATATCAACAATAGAAATAGAGTAAGAAGGGATTTTAAATTCTCTTTCCCGTCATACAGTTTCCTAAGAGGATATGAGCTTTACTGGGTGATAGGATGAATTATCATGTTCTAGCAAATTATATTCTAGAATTACTCTAGCAGCAAAAACATGAAAAATTACCGCTTGGTGAATAGCTGTCAACAAGCTAAAAAAGGTTTGAAGTAACTTGATATGGATTTGGGAGATTTAACCATAGGTAAGATGTTTGCCCCAAAATGTCATAATGTGGAAGATCACCTATCAACTGAGCACCCCATGAAAATCATTAACAGTTCTATATGATGCTGTTTTTATCATTATTATTATTATTATTATTAAACTGTCACTCTAGGAGCCAGGGAGATGAAGCAAAGAGCAGGGCAATCACAGCACTGTATGGTCCCCAGAGCACTGACAGGAGTAAGCCAAGAGCACCACCAGATGTGGTTCCAGACCAAACCAAAACCAAACCATTGTCACATAGATGTGTGATACTTTCCCTTCACCTAAAATGAACATGTCACAAATATGCTAACTTCTAATGAATTATGAAGGGATTCTAAATACAGGTTACAGGTTTTTTTCCTTCATTTGTTTTCTAAGAAATGTTTTGCGTGTGGTGGTGGTGGAGGGGGTGGGTTCTGGGAGGTACCAGGCCCTGGGGGACTCTTCCCAGGGATACCTGACCCCTAGGCTCTACAGATAAGCATGCTGGGGGCCAGTGGCCCTAGGGGAGCAACGCTGGGATTGAACTCCAGTCCCTCCTGGCTCTATACTCAAGAATTACTCCTGGCGGTGCTCGGGGGACCATATGGGATGCTGGGAATCGAACCCGGGTCGGCCGCATGCAAGGCAAACACCCTGTCCACTGTGCTATTGCTCCAGCTCGCCCGCCCCCCCCCCCCAAGACATTTTTAAGGGAATGAGATGGTTAGGTTCCCACAGAACTAGACTGTCACAGAGAAGAGTCATCATCACCTCTGTGAGGACATTCTCCCCAGAGACAGGTGAGTCAGGCCTCTGGGACACGTGTCGTCATACTGGTCTTCTGTGCCCTCCCAGGCAGCACAGCACGCCCAGAAGCAGTCCACGGAGCTCTTCCAGTGCATGTATTTCAGAGACAAAGACCCGGAAACCGAGCAGCGCTGCATCTCTGACGGGGTGATCTACTCTATCAGGACCAATGGCGTGCTTTTATTCATACCAAGGTATGTTGTCTAACACAAGAACTAGGAAAGCAGTCAGGGCAGGAGTGAGCCCTGAGCACTGCCAGGTACAGCCCCAAAACCAAAAGAAATGATAGGTACACCAAGAGTATAAATAGCATATTAGATATGACTGAAGTATTGTAGTAACTAGTTACTGTCACAGTCACTGTCCTTTCGTTGTTCATTGATTTGCTCAAGCGGGCCCAAGTAACATTGTGAGACTTGTTACTGTGTTTGGCATATCGAATACATCACGGGCAGCTTGCCAGGCTTTGCCGTGCGGGCGAGATACTCTCGGTAGCTTGCTGGGCTCTCCAAGAGGGGCGGAGGAATCGAACTCAGGTCGGCTGTGTTGGTTGCCGCGTGCAAGGCAAATGCCATACCCACTGTGCTAATAATATATAATTAAAGATTAGGGACTGGAGCAATAGTACAGTGGGTAGGGCACTTGCCTTGCACTCACCCAACCTGGGTTTGATCCCCCCCCCCCCCCCCCGCACCTTGTATGGTCCCCTGATCCCTGCCAAGAGTGAATCCTAAATGCAGAACCAGGAATAAGCACAAAGCACAGAAGGGCACTACCCTACCCCACCCCACCCAAAAAACACAAAGCATAGAAGATTAGAATCTGATATATTTCTATCAGCCTTAGGACTTTTTTTAGCAAAATTTGTTTCCATCTGTTCAATGAAACAAATATTTACAGAGGTGATTGCAAGTTGTTTTCATCAAAAAAGTATATTTATTTCTGTATAAGTATACAAGGACCACATACTAAGAACACATTATGTCTGCATTTTTATTTTGGCAACAATTCAGGTATGGCATTAAAGGTGCTGCTTATCTAAAAAATAAAGATGGCTTAGTGATCTCCTGTGGTCCAGACAGCCAGTCTGAATGGAAACCAGGATCCCTTCAACGGTGTCAAAACAAAATCACCTCTACCACCACAGGAGGGGAGTCTGTCACCTTCCATCTGTTTGACCATGTAACAGTAAGTCTGTCTAATAAGTATTTGCTTTCAGTGCAAGAAAAAAAAGAAAAATGTAATTTAGCAACAGGCTCTTCCTTCTCTGTGTAGGTGAAAATATCTGTCCATGCTTCCCGCTGCCATTCGGATTCCATCAGGCTGGAAATCGTCAGCAACAAGCCGTACGTGAGCCCAGAGACGGAACCTTCTCATCAGAGCGCCCTCCTGCTCAAGAGTGAGCTGGTGAAAGAAGTAACGAGGTCTGTGGAAGAAGCTCAGCTCGCCCAGGAAGTGAAGCGCAGCCTCATCCAGGACGAGTACCAAGAGTACTGCCAGAGCAAGGGCAAGAACCTGTACACCCTGCTCGAGGAGATCCGCGACCTGGCGCTCCTGGACGTGTCCGACAGTTTTGGGACATGAGATACCGTCCTTACTTTATTAAAAGAGCTTTGTTGTACGGGTGTCGCGCCTTCATTTCAACATGAACATCTGATTTCCTGTCACCGGTATTCTGATCCTTCTGGGCCAGGTGAGTTATTCTGCATGGTCCTTCCGAGAACCCTGGCCTGAAAATGAGGATAGTAGCCCACCCTATGACGTGCTGCTTTTTCTATACATACATGCCCATGATAGTTTGTCAACTAAAATACAGTAAGAAATTTAAGAATGAAACTAAGCTATTACAACTCTATTAATAGAGACAAGATTATATGAATGTAGTATCTCAGAATTGAGGGGCTTGCTTTGGTCCAAAGCCCCAAGTGTGCAAGGGAAAAAAAGGGGGGGGGGGTAGAGTGATAGTACAGCAGGGTGGGCATTTGCTTGCACACAGCCAACCTGGGTTCGATCTCCAGCATCTCATATGGTCCCCTACGCACCACCTGGAGTAATTCCTCAGTGCAGAGCCAGGAGTCACCCTTGAGCATCTCCAGGTATGACCCAAAAAGCCAAAATAACAACAAAAACACAAATGGGTGCCAGGATCGAACTCAGGTTGGCCATGTTCAAGGCCAGAGTCCTACCCATCTGATGGCCCCAATCTGTAAATAATTATCTTACCAGCAAATCCAACGCTGATAAAATTTCCTTTCTTGGTCAGCTCCTTTAATTCAGTTTGTGAGGGCAGGGAGAAACCAGAGGAAGCAGTCTCCTCAGGCACTGGAGCATTCAGGAGTCCAGGCTTCTGGCTAACCCCCTGTTGGGCAGTTAGCCCCGTGCCCCGTTACTGCCCCGGCAAAGCCTTTCCCCCACCCCCAATGTCCTTACTCACATCCCTCTCCATCCTCCATTGACGCCCACGAGCCTCAGAGCACTCAGTCTGTGCACCCCTGCTTTGTGTTTGCTTTCAGTTTAGGGGCTAAGAGTGGTACTGAGGGTCCAAGGGGTGATGGGGCTCCTTGGGGGTTGCTCCAGCAGCACTCGGGGGGGCTACACAGAGGCAGAATGAGCCCAGGGCCCACATACAGAGCATGAGCTGCAGCCCTTAGTAGAAAGAAGCACTAACACTTTATTTCTTGGTTAGGGGCCACACTTGGCTGTGCTCAGAGCTTACTCCTGGCTCTGCAGTCAGGGATCACTCCCAACTTGGGAGACTAGGTGGGGTACCAGGGGTCAAACCCCAGTGCCTGCATAAAGATAAACACCTTACTTTAAAATCATCACTGCGAGGTTTTTCCTCAAAATGCCATCTCGCCACTTCCTAATTTATAAAAACTAGCTTTGCCTTTACTCTCCCAGCCAAGAACTAGACCTCGGGGTTTAAGAGGGGAAATAGGCGGGAGGAGTGTGGGGGGCTAAGGCCTTGCATTAAGTCCCTGGATCACCCCTGAGCCAGGACTAGCCTGAACTGTCAAGTGTTGGGTGTTCCCCACCCCCGCCCCCGCCTGTTAGACCTCGTCCCCATTTCTCTTTGTTGTCATAGTTACATTGTGGTATTGGGGATCACATGGCAATGGTGGGGTCACACTTAGAGCACGCAAAGCACTTCCCCAATAACCTATAACCCTGGACCCCCAAAAGTCAGGCCTTTAAGCTTGCTGTCAACTTGGTACTCTCATGCCCCTTCCTTCCCTAACATTGCTAAGGAAACTGAGGACCCTAGCAGGTCTCCTCACGGCCACCAGGACCAAACAGTCCTCATTCCCTAGACTTTGACTGAACATATTCTTCCTTAGAATTTCACCCACCGGCTTCTCCCAAGAATGTATTAGATAGTAAAATGACTCCTCAAAATACACATGTAAACCCCTCAAACATTTTAACATAAATGTAAATTGCAGAAGTAGCAATAATTTTCAGAAAGTCTTGAGACAGTTTTTAAAAATTTTAAATTGACTTTAATACTCTATAAATTACATCTTAAAACTCCACCCAAGTTAATGCAAATAAGGCAATCAATGGCATACTGGAAGCTGCTAATCTAGCTACTAATCATTTTTATGAGCATCGACAAACAATAAATAGACCAGACTTTTCTAAAGCGAATAAGTTAACTCTTTTATATACAGTCTTCTGTTGTGTGTGGGCTGCACCCACTGTGCTCTGCGCTCAGGACCATTCCTGGCGGGGACTGAACCCTGGTCCGTGGTGTGCAAGGCAGGTGCCCTACCCACTGGACTACTGATCTGGCACCTAGATACAAGTATTTTAAATGAGTATCAACAAAAATTCTATTACATAAGGATTTTCACCAACAGAAAACAAAATACAGAGCCCTGCGAAGCTTAAAGAATGCCCAGAGCTCCGTAGGGCTGGACAGCGTTGTCCCTGCGGTGCTCACGTGAGGTGACCCCCCGCATCGTGTGCATCGGTGGTGACGTCAGCCTCGGGATCATCCAGAGCATCTCCGTGAAGTCCACTTGACTGCAGCTCCTGCTGCCCCTCCCCTGTCTCTTCAGCAGACTGGGCTGAGGGTGTGGTCAGTAATGAGTCTGGAAGAGAAGCCATCACATATAATTTACCTGATAAACAAATATCAAAGTAGTGATGACGTCAATGATCACTTTACTTTTTCTATCATTTTATTGTCTTTTCTGTACATACTTCTGTAACAATTCCATATATAACTATACACTACCATCTAGATGTGATTTTATTTATCTTTCCCCTCCTCCAAATAAAGCTTTAAAAAATAAATGTTTGGGGCTGGAGCGATAGCACAGCGGGTAGGGCGTTTGCCTTGCATACAGCCAACCTGGGTTCGATTCCCAGCATCCCATATGGTCCCCTGAGCACCGCCAGGGGTAATTCCTGAGTGCAGAACCAGGAGTAACCCTTGTGCATCTCCAGGTATGACCCAAAAAGCAAAAAAAAAAAAAAAAGTTTTCTGGACAGAGTGATAGTACAGTGGGCAGGGAACTAGCCTTGCATGCAGCCAACCCAGTTCGATTTCCGGCACCCCATATAGTCCCCTGAGCCCTGCCAAGAGTGATCCCTGAGAGCAGAGCCAGGAGTCAGCTCTGAGCACCACCAGGTGTGCCCCACAACAAAAAAAAATTTGGTTTTTGATTTTTGACCTCTCAAGCAGTATTCAAGGGGATGAGAGGCTGCTCTAACAACTGAAGCAATGTGGGGAAATTGCAAAAAAACAAAAATTTTAGGACCTCACTCAGGTAGGCATACACCCTACCACTTGAGTCATCTCTCCAGCACCATAAATTCATTTTTTTTACATGTATAAATTCCACTCAAAAAAAGTCTGGAATGGGGCTGGAGCGATAGCACAACAGGTAGGGCGTTTGCCTTGCACGCAGCCAACCCGGGTTCGATTCCCAGCATCCCATATGGTCCACCGAGCACCGCCAGGAGTAGTTCCTGAGTGCATGAGCCAGGAGTAACCCCTGTGCATTGCCAGGTCTGACCCAAAAAGCCAAAAAAAAAAAAAAAAAAGTCTGGAAGTCAAACTCTTCAATCACAGTCAAAGGCAACCCATTCTCATCCAAACAACCGCTAAAATGTCTTTTTAAAAAATATTTCTAATTCAAAAGAGGAGAGATAGTACACTAGGTAGAACACATATCTGACCCAGGTTTGATCCCTAGCATCCCATATAGTTTGCCAGGAGTAATCCCTGAGTACAGGGTCAGGAGGAACCCCTGAGCACAGCTGGGTGTAGCCCAGAAACAAAGCAAACAAGCAAAAATATCTTTCATGAGGCTGAAGTGACAGTGTAGCAAGTAAGTTGTTTGCCTGCCCACAGCTGCCCCATGTTCAATCCCTACCACCACATATGGCCCTCCAAAGATCACCAGAAATGATCCCTGAGCACAAAGCAAGGAGTAAGCCCTGAGCAGTGTGTGCCACCCCACCCCTCAAAAAAATAAATAAAATAAAGTATCTTGGGGTCAGAGCAATAGTACAGCAGGTAGGGCATTTGCCTTGCACCTGGCTACCCCAGGTTCAATCCCCCGCATCCCATATGGTCCTCTGAGCACACCAGAAGTGACCCTTGAGTGCAGGGCCAGGATTAATTGCTGAGCAGCTTGGGTGTGACCCAACAACAAAACAAAGCAAATCAAACTTGTTGATTCAGACAGCTCAAGAGGGTGAGCATATTCTTTGACTGGACCCAGGTCCAGCCTCCAGAAGCTGGTGGTCCCGAGTGCCACCAGGAGCAACAGCAGCATAGACACAGGAGAAGCCCCCAAGTCCACTGGGGGTAGAAAATTAAACCAGTATGATTTGTTGTCGTTGTTCTCTTTGTTTGGGGACACACCTGGCAGTGCTCAGGGCTTTGTACTCAGGGATTGCTCCTGGGAGGCTCCAGGGACCGGCCAGGTCAGCGGTGTGCAAGGCAAGCGTATCCATAGCTCCAGCCCCCAAACAAATTGTAATGGAGTTTTGAAAGAAAATGCAAGGGAACGAAACCAATGGTTTATAAAGAAAGTGACACAACATAATAAAAATGCATTTTAAGACCAATTCATGTCACAGTAAATGGCTCTAAAACTCTCAGAGACCCCACAAGGCATGTTTCAGGAAGAACCAGTTATGTACATAATTAATGTACCTAAAGACAAGATTATGTGTCGTACTGAGAGTAGAAAAACAAGCATGTTTTCAAAAAATCCAGAATCAATGTTAAATGATTAATTTCAAAGAGAATCAGGTATTTACACATTTGGATTGTTTATCGTTTCAAGATTCCTCCAAATAGCTAACACCCTTAACACCCTCCCCACACACACACACCCCACACATCTCTCTCGCTCTCTCTTTCACTCTGATACATAAAGTTAATATACGATCATCACACTTTTCTATTCCTCAGGCACTTGCTATATCAACAGCAGCATATAAAACTGAGCATAAAGTTTACCATTTCCGAGGGACTGACTATTACTCAGCAGCTTTGCCTGCCTTCGTTCCAAGGCCAGTTGTTTATTTCTCTCAATTCTTCGTTGCTGCTCATCTGTTATGCTTCCACCTGACTCTGAAGAAAACTTCTCACTTCCAGATGAGTTTGTAAAACAGGAATCCAATTCAGTAACAGCTACCTCATTGCCATTATTTTCATTTTCTCCTTCTACATCTGCAACAGAAAAAGTAGTACATGGGTAGTGTTCGACTAATTAGGAGGGGAGAGTATGCCTCCTCAATCCAGGTTTTTGTTTTGGGGCTGCACCCAGCAGCAGTCAGGGATCACTCCCAGTGACACTTGGTGGACCATACGGTGCTGGGGGTATCAAACCCAGGCCCCCCGAAAGTCCTCCGAGAGAGCTCCCAGCCCTGAAAACCAGTTTCAAGGGGTAAAATGCAAGACTTGTAGAAACAAACTTGTAAGGTATGGGAGGGTGTTAAACATCTGCTTGATGAGAAAGCTGACAGGGAGGACAGAGAGGGATGCTCAAGGCCAGCACAGGCTTGCCACGCAGAAGGCCTGCTGCCCTCCAGGCACCACCAAAGCCACCTCTGGGCACTGGGTCAGTCCCTGAGCATCGTTAGGTGTGCTCCAAAAACCAAAAAAAGAAAAGAAGGGGTTGTGTAAACTGGGTAAAGGGAGTCAACTGAATGGTGAAAGATAGAATTTAGTTGTGAACTTACACACTGATTTTTTATTTTGCAGTGAATCAAACCCAAGGCCCCATCGGCAAGGTTCATGTTCTACCTGTGCTGTATCCCCAGGCCCAGAGGCAGCACTTAATGAAGCTTTTAGGGTCTAGAGCAATTGCACAGTGGGTTAGGCGCTTGCCTTGTACATGGTCAACCCAGGTTCAATCCCCAGCACCCCATGATGGTCCCCTGAGCAGCGCCAGGAATAATTCCTGAGTGCAGAGCCAGGAGTAAGCCCTGAGCCTCGCTGGGTGTGACCCAAAACAAAGTGCTTGCAAAATTAGAACATGCTTTAAATCATGTTGCTCTTTAGCCTAAGCATATTTCCTATCATTACAAAGAATTTTACCTTTCTGCTCATACTTTGTCCTTTTTTTTTAAGCTAAGAAGAGAGTGAAAGGATCAGTGAAAGTCAGGGGAAGGATTGGTCACGGTCCTCCCGTTATTCATCGATTTGCTCGAGCGGGCCCAGTAACATCTCGATTGTAAGACTTGTTGTTACTGTGTTTGGCATATTGAATACATCACAGGTAGCTTGCCAGGCTCTGCCGTGCGGGCGAAATACTCTCTGTAGCTTGCCAGGCTCTCCGAGAGGGGCAGAGGAATCAAACCTGGCTCGGCCAGGCCGGCTGCACGCAAGGTGAACGCCCTACTGCTGTGCTATGGAGGCTGTAGAATGGTCAAATAGGGACCATGCAGTAATGGTGCTCGGGGGACCCTATGAAATGCTGGGGATCAAACCCCATGTGAGGCAGGTGCCCGAACCACTGTACAACTGCTCCGGCTTCACAAACACATTTTAACAGCTTGCCACTACGGTGTCTCTATGGTATAATGAACTAATAATATAGAAGCTAATTTTTTTAAATTAGGATGAAATCCAGATACAACAGTAAAAAAGACAACAAATTTAGAGATTTGTGACCAATCTTAAAACTAATTAAAAACAACAGTCTTGGGCTGGAGCGATAGCACAGTGGGTAGAGCGTTGTTTGCCTTGCACGTGGGCGACCCAGTTCGATTCCCAGCATCCCAGAGCACCATCAGGAGTAATTCCTGAGTGCAGAGCCAGGAGTAACCCTTGTGTATCGCTGGTTGTGACCCAAAAAGCAAAACAAAACAAAACAAAAAACACACATAAAAAACCCCAACGGTCTTAGTGCTATCTTGACACTTTTTTTTTTGGTGGGTTGTGGGGGAAGGAAGGAGTTGGGGGTCATACTTGCAGTATTCAGGGGAAGATGTGTTTCAAGGATAAAACCCTGGGCTCCACATGCAAAATCTGTGCTTCAGCCTTTTGAGCTATCTCCCTGGACCAAATCTCAATCAATTCTTGATGTGCTACCCACTGGTTATTTTACAGTAAGATGCACCTAAAACAATCCACAGTGGAAGAATGTAAATATCAGACCTATATTGCATCTAAAACAATCAGAAAAAAAACTAAGTCTATTATATTTAAAACAAGGCATGGCGGAGCAATAGTTCAGCAGACAGGGCATTTGCCTTGCACACAGCTGACCCAGGTTAGATCTCCAGCACCCCATATGCTCCAACGAGCACTGCGAGGAGTGACCCCTGAGTACAGAGCCAGGAGTAAGCCCTGAGCACCGCTGGGTGTGGCCCCAAAACTAAAGAGAGAGCCGAGGACGTGGCTGAGTGGGAGAGCATGTAAGTTGCCTTACATGCCTGATATATCAGGTCAGGTCCCCAACACTGCCAAGTGCCCGGTGCTCCCAGTGTGGCACTAACTGGTTTTGAAAACCGAAGCTGGTTTTCACTGTCCAGTTCAGTGGAAAAGCCAAAGCACAACAGACACACATGTGGGGGCTCCAAAAGATCTCTGCAAGGCTGGGAGGTGGCTGAGGACCAGAGCTCGGGCTTGTTGCAGGAGTCCCAGGTTCGTCCCTGGTAACAAATGGTCCTCTTGGAGCCCTAGGGGCCTGGAGCACGACAGGAGAAATGGGTAACCCCAGCTCTGCAGGACCCCGCAGGATCCTGCGTGGAACAACTGTACTTGGTTAGGATTCACCAGAAGGGCCCCCAAACCTTCTGGGTGGCACCTGGGAGCCATCCCCATCCAAGGGAAGAAAAACTGGCTGAGAAAGGGTGAGAATTTGCAGGCAAAAGCCGGCAGAATTCTTGCACTGGTGGATGAGATAAAAACTGAACTGGTGGGGGACGGAGGGGGGCGGGACGACAGTGCAGTGGGGAGGGTGTTTGCCTTGCACACAGCTGACCCAGGTTTGATCCCTGGCATTCAGATGGTCCCATGAGCCTAAAGCCAGGAGTGATTCCTGAGCACAGAGCCAGGAGTAAGCCCCCAGCACTGTGGGATGTGGCCCACAAACAAAAGAAAACACAAAACGGGAGAATGGGGGTGGGGAGGTTTGCAGCTGAGACACGTAGCAGGGAGGGCACCCTCCTAGGTTGCAGCCACGCCAGGTTCAATCCTGCCAGGAGTGATCCTCGAGAGCAGTCCTAGAAGTAACTCTTGAGCACTCCTAGGCGTAGCCCAAAAGACAAAACAACAAAAACCACTGGGGCTAGAGAGAGAGCACTGTGGGCTGACCCACCATATGGCCTCATGGGCCCGCTAGCAATGATCCCCAAGTACAGAGCCAGGAGTTAAGCCCTGAGCACAGCAGGGGCCAGAGTGATGGTTCAGCAGGTAAGCTTTCCTTTCGAGATCTACCCAGGTTCAATCCCAGGCATACCCGGAGTGATCCCTGAGCACTGCCATGTGTGGCCCAATGCTGGTTATCACATCAGTACCCTGACAAATATATTAGAAAACTAAATAATATGCTCAAAACAGTTTTACTGCTATGGCATCGACCCAGAAGTCTTGGAGACTATGAAAATACTGAGCGGCAGTAAACAAGGCTCTGATTTAAGCCTCGCCAGGCACTCTGTATTTCGGCATGCCCCAGTGCTGCTTATTTATTGATGCCGCAGCATCGAAATGAGCTTCCTCCTCATCTGAAAACACCTCTGCCTGGCCTCTACAATTTGCCTCTACCACTGAGATACTCTGCTGTGAAGCTTTCCCTTCCTCTAGGTAACGCACCTATATACACACTGCTCTGTGCCCTATTCAAATCTCTAGTTACAGCAACCGTTAGACTACAGGCAATGACTACAGGCTGACCTGCTCTCTAGGTAGCCTGTGAAGCAAGGAGTCTAATACTAATAATTTTTAACACAGTACATAACACAGAAAGTGCTGGAAAACACCAATGCTTCACTATGGGCTTAGTAAAGGACTAAAGTCCTGTCCTAAGTCCTTTCCATATATACAATCTCATGCCACCAGTACTTACCACAACTCACCAACAAATTAAATCCTGGTTTATTTCAATTTCAATCTCAATTCTGATCACTTTTAATGTAGAAATAACTTGAGGTGGTTCTGTATGGAGTCTGCATTTTCGACTACATACATTTAGTTTCCTAACTGCAACGAGCATGTATGGGGCCATCGCACAGGAAATCTGATGACTCTACAGACCCTGTCGGCAAGAACCATGCTTTGCTGTTTGTGACCGCCAACGGCTGCACTGCACGGCTCGCAGATGCAGCCCATACCAGGACCAGTCACAGGGGAAGGAGAGGTGGGGGGAGGTTGTGCTGCTCCCAGGAAAGCTCAGATCATGCGACGCCAGTGGCTGGGATGGAGTCCAGGCCTTCAGACACAAGGCGTGCCTCAGCCCATGAAGTATTTTCCCCAGTCCTTGTTTGCACTGTTTGGGGGGTTTGGGGGGGGGGGGGGTTTACAAACAGCTATGCTCAGGGGTTACTCCTGGCTCTGTCCGTAGGGATCATTCCTCAAGAGGCTCGAGGGACCAGATGGGATGCTGGGTATTGAACCTGGGCGGGCCACGGGAAAGGAAAATGCCCTACCCATTGTACTGCCTCTCTGGCCCTCATGTCTACACTCCAAAGTAATGTGTAAAGTATTTCACCACCAGCTTATTCTGTCAAATTTATTTTCTCTATTCACAAATGATATGAATGAAAATGAGTGTCTCCAATGGAGACGTTACTGGGCCCGCTCGAGCAAATCTTGTCATATATTTTTATTAAAAAGCACTACACAGGGTCAGCAGGTCACCATCACCAGATTTCTCAGAGCTCTGATCAACAGCATCGAATACATATTCACAACATCTCTTAGTGACACTCAGTCAGGCCCTAAAGAAACCAGTCTCAGGACCAGAGCAACAGGACAGCAGGCAGGACACCTGCCCTGTGAGCTACTGACCTGGGTCAGATCCCCAGCACCTCTAGAGGCCCCCAAGCCCACCAAGAGTGAGCCCTGAGCATAGAGGTAGAGTAAGGCCTGAGCAAGCACTGAGGGTGTGGCCTAAAGCCAAAAAAACAAGTATCATACACAAGTCTTGATGCGCTGTGCCATTTCGATTCACTCCCAGTGACTGTGCTAGAATTATATATTCAGTAGACCAAGAGTCCAGTCCTAATGTACCAACTACCCCCACAGATATCCATCTCTAAATACAAAATGGTTAAAAAGTAAGAAAACCTATGTTCTTACCATTACTGCTAATGAAATCTTCATGCACAATGGGCAGATCAAGTCGAATTCGTTTTAAACATGTCTGAAAATAAAGATACTTTCACATTTTCATCAATAATATTTAGAAAAAAATGTTATTAATTTATAGTTTCTAGAAAGTTGCTCTTCCAATACCTATTAACTTTCCTTCTTGGGGCCCAAGCAGTAGTACAGTCAGTAGAGTGTTTGCCTCGCCCACAGCTGGCCCAGGGTCAACCCCTGGCAACCCACTTGGTCCCCCGAGCACGGCTCAGGAGTGACCCAAACTGCCCCACCACCACCCAAAATAACTTCCCTTCTCTACCAAGACATATTTCAAAATGAGATCCCAGTTACTTGACCTCCACGAATTCTCCGTACTATTTAACATTGTGAATTATACTTAAAATAACCTCACTACCCACCTGAACTTCCTTTTTATTTCCCAGGTATTCAACTCTGTCAATAAAATCCTCAAATTGGAGTTTCGGGAACAGCCGATGTGCCCAGTGCTCCATGTGTCTGATCAGAGTCTTCAAGTCTTCAGCCTGACACATAAAAATAAATATGCTAAATAGAACACTCATTCTCACAACCGACCTTGTCAGCAGATTCTCGAACTGAAAAGCAATGTGAAAGTCATTGGTGTCATTTTGTATTTATAAGGTTGAGAAACTCTTATAAAGGACTTCGAGGGCTTAGAGAGTTATAGTCTAAAAGAGTACTGAATACAGACATAAAAATCAAAGCAAAAAAAATATGAAGTTAATTACCAGTTAAAAGATAATCACACGTTATCTTTTCTGAACTGTAAAGCATTATTTGGAAACAGGTTTTAATAAAAGATGTCAAGATACCTTTTAAAAATAAATAAAGTGACAGTTTCCTAAAACATATTTTGAGCAGCACTGTGAAAATATACTCAGAAATCCCAAGGGCAAAGTACCAAAAATTTCCGAATGTAGTTAAAACATTGTTACACATAGTGCCTCTCCATAGAAACTTCAATTTAACATTAATTTTTTTTTTCTGGCTTTTTGGGTGACACCTGGCGATGCACAGGGGTTACTCCTGGCTCTGCACTCAAGAATTACCCCTGGTGATGCTCAGGGGACCATATGGGATGCTGGGAATCGAACCCGGGTCGGCCGTGTGCAAGGCAAACGCCCTACCCGCTGTGCTATTGCTCCAGCCCCTTAACATTAATATTTTTAAGTCCTATAGAAAAATCAAGTTTAACAGAACGGACTAATAAAACTTCACATTTCTAGACTTTCCTACAAAAAATGTTACTTTTTATTTTTTAGGTTTTGGGGCTGTTTCATTCGAGCACCCCAGAGGGGAGCAGGTGAGGGCCCTCCCTGCCCCAAAGAACCCAGACCCAGAAGCCCAAAACCTCCAGAACCCAATAGCCACCACAGGCTGAGTCCCACCCACAAGTGAACCTATTTCTGGACCTTGCAGCCACAAATGTGGCCACACAACACTTCACAGGGCACACTCTACCCTTACTCCAAGAATACCACACCACATTTGATGGGGTTCACAGAAGTAAGCAACCAATCTTAGAGAGGCATTTATTTATTTTTACAGATATATATACAAAAGCACACAAGGCTCAACCTTCAACAACATATTAGTGATCTCTTAATGGCCTCTTAATTAAGGGCTTAATGACCCGATGAAATAGAACAATCTCCACACTCTTTCCTCTAAGGATACTTTTTTGTAGCATCTTCAGTGGTTTTTCATAACAAACAATACAAAATGGATTATTTCAGTTCTGCTTTGGGAAAGGGATTTGGGTTTGAGATGGAAATTATCTGTAATATGGCGGTGGGAAGGTGTAATGGTGGTGGGATTGATGTCTGAATATTCGTCATTTCATTTTTTCATCATCCTGTGATTCGTCGATTGCCTCGAGCAGGCCCCAGTAACGTCTCTTTCATCCTAGCCCTGAGATTATATTCACGGCTCTTTAGGAGAATGAGACCCGTCATTGTTACTGGTATTTGGCATATTTGGTACGCCACAGGGAGTTTGCCAGACTCTGCCCTGTGGGCAGGCTACATTCGATAGCCTGCAAGTTTGTCCAAATATTAAATGTCTGAATATTAAAGGTAATCAAATATTGTGAACTACCTTATGAAATAAATTTTAAAAATTTAAAAAAATAAAGAGGGATAAGGCAACTGAAAAATAAATAAGTAAATAAAGTTTTGGGGCTGCATCAACAATGCTCAGGCAACCATGAGGTGCCAGGGACTGGCCCAGGCCTCCGGCACGCAAAGCATGTGCTCGGCCCACTTGCCCTCTCTCAGGTTCTTCTTTTTCTCTTAAGCGGTTTTCTAGGAGGGTAAGAGAGAGCACTCAAGCGACAGGACACAAGCCAAGCATGTGCCAGGTTCCGACTGTTCCCTCCCCAGTATCACAGGCCCCGCACGAGGCAGAGCTCTACCAATTGTGTGCACTGAGCTTCCAGGGGCTGCCCCAGAGAAACCCTCTCAATGAGCAACAGGTCGAAGGCCTGAGGCACGTGCTCTGGGTGCAGGAACCCGAGGCTTGGTCCCCAGCATCTCATGGCCCCTAAGCACTGCCAGCAGTGAGCACTGAGCCCACAGGAGCCAACAATAGTTTCTGAGCATTGCTGGTGTGACTCTAAAACAAAAAAAATTAATCAAGTTGGGGTTCAGAGGGTGCAAAGACCCAAGTTTGACCCTAGCACCAAGGTACCCGCCCCCTCCCCAAGAACACAGCCTAGGGCAACCACATTCCCCAGCATAACACCATGAGTAGGCCCTGGGTGTGACCCAAGACCAAAATAGATTTTTTTTTTTTCTTTTTGGGGGCTGGAGCAATAGCACAGCAGTAGGGCATTTGCCTTGCACACAGCCAGCCCGGCCAACCTGGGTTCGATTCTTCCCCCTTTCGGAGAGCCTGGCAAGCTACCGATACAAGTTACCGAAAGTATCTCACCCACATGGCAAAGCCTGGCAAGCTACCCGTGATGTATTCAATATGCCAAACACAGTAACAAGTCTCACGATGAAGATGTCACTGGGCCTGCTCAAGCAAATCAATGAACAACGGGAGGACAGTGACAGACAATGACACCCGGCGATGCTCAGGGGTTACTCCCGGCTCATGCATTCAGGAATTAGTCCTGGCTGTGCTGGGGGGTGGGGGAGATGGATGGGGACCATATGGGATGCTGGAATCAAACCTGGGTCAGCCACATGCAAGGCAAATGCCCTACCCCCTGTGCTATGGTTCCAGTCCCTAAATAATCTTTTTGTTTTGATAATTGAGCCTTTGATAATTGGGCTGGAGCGATAGCCCAGCAGGTAGGGCATTTTTTGCCTTGCACACGGCCAACCCGGGTTCGATTCCTCCGCCCCTCTCAGAGGGCCTGGCAAGCTACCTAGAGTAGCTTGCCCACATGGCAAAGCCTGGCAAGCTCCCCATGGCATATTCAATATGCTAAACATAGTAACAACAAATCTCACAATGGAGACGTTACTGGGCCCACTCGAGCAAATCGATGAACAACGGGAGGACAGTGCTACAGTGCTAGAATTGAGCCTCACCCAGATGTGCTCAGGGGACCGTATGTGGTGCCAGAAATCAAACTCAGAAAGGGAAACACTTTCCCTGCCGTACTATCTCTCTGATCCCAAAATAACAATTATTCTTAAAGCCTAATGTACGGGCCCAGAAGAATAGCCACTGTGCAAACACTGTTAGGGATTCATATCCCTGTGTGCCACGTGTGCCAGCATGATCCTGGCAGAGTCTGAGCATCATGATCCTCTCCTGGCTGCATCCAGGAGCTGCACCCTGGCCTGGTGTACGGAAGCACCACCGGCAGGTGTGAGCTCGGGCTTAGGACCCACAGCCAGGAACTGCGGGCCCTGGCAAGCGCCATCTCGGAGTGGCACGCCTGTGGCTGAGGCCCTGAGGCACCACCATTGATATGCGGGCACTGTCGGGCACATGCTCAAGCCCAGGCCCTGGCAGGCACGAAAACAAGGCAGGCCAAGAGGAGGCACTCTTAGTTTTCAAAAATAAGAATCGTCAGCACACAGAATGCATAGATTTTAAATCTTAGTTTCATCACTTAAACAAACCAATTTACTCTGTCCCTATTCTCTTCAGTTTCTGGGAAAGAAAAAGTAAGTTAATAAAAAGTTAATAAAAACAAACTCAAGCTCAAAGACTTATTTGATTTTCTAAAATCATATACAGTGGCAAAAAAGACACAGAAATCAAGTTCTCTAGTACCTCAAACAGTGCTCATTCCAGATAGCTTTTCAAAGGGAGATAAACTACTTCTGAAATATTTGTAGATTCCCAGGAATGTGCTCATGGGTCCATAGTTTCACAGATATTCTAAAAACCAAAGGTCTGAGAACTAAATCAGACACTTCTTACCTCATGGCCTTTCCCTTTGAATTTTGCCTTTTCGTACACATGTCTTAATGCTGGAAGCCCTCTCTCAGAAATCAACCTGCAGATAGAAAGGTTTTCAATTCTGAGTTCTCCAGAGCGCCAAGTCTAAACCAAAAGCCAGAAGAAAAAAAAAAACAAAACAAAAAAAGTTCTGAACTAAACAAACAAAAAAGACCTTTAATAATATCTGGTCGCCAAGCCACTCCTACCAAAAGCTTTTCAGAAAAGAAATGGGAATTGGAAAGAGAGAGAGCAACAGGCTGAGCACAGGCTTTGCACACAGGAGATTGGGGTTTGAGCCCTGGTACCACATGGCCCTGAGGATTGCCTAGAGCAACCCCAGCTGGGAACAGAGATGAGTGAAACAAAAACAAACGAAGCCTCAGCAAATCATATGCGTACCTCTGAGCGTCCAGCTTGGGTATGTTCCTTTTAACGGTTCTCTTTGGAGGCACAGGAACAGGAGCGCTTCTCCCTGATTCTAAGAGAACATACCAAGATTTAATGTTACTCCTGTCAGCCAAACCTCTTGTAAAATACAGAATTTCAGAGTTGACTGATGAGTCAACAATTAGTGCACAAGGGCACTTTTTTAACTCTACAGACCTTCATCAGGTTCAGCCCCTTCACCATCTCTCTCTGGAGAGGCTGGAGGTGGGAAAGGAGGAAAAGTCTCATCTTCCATCTGCTCATGATCTGGCACATCAATAAAGTCATCCTCCTGCAGTTCCAGCATCTCTTCTTCTAAGAGGAAAAATAGTAATAACACTTATTCATCCATGTAATCTTCCTGTTACACCGTTTTATCTACAACATTCCTGTTTCAATCAACACAGATTTCAAACTCATCATTATGAAGTAAAGAAAGGGGTCAGAGTGATAGTACAGCAGATGGGGAGATTTACACAAAGTCTGTAGTCGACCCAGATTCAATCCCCCCCCCCCATCTCTTGGTCCTCTAAGCCCAGCAATGAGTGATTCCTGAGTGCAGAGCCAGGAGTAAGCCCTGAGCACCACCAGGTATGATACAAAAACGAACAACAAAAAGATTGAGGCACTTGATTTTTACAGATCTATATCAGTACCTTTTTGCTAACCAAAGAAATCTGTAGGGGATCTTCACTTTTTTTTTTCCAGTCTCCCCTGCCCCCAGCACCAGAACTAAAACCCAACTAAAACCCAGAGCCTCAAACATGGAGGGCAAGTCTCCAACTCTGAACTACATCCCCCATCCCGAAGATTTTCACTCTACACAAAAAGCAAAAATAGCAGTGTTACAGATGTGGTGTGCACCAGGAGCAACAAGAGAGCCAGGCTGCTGACCCAGTTCTACCTCCGATACACTACACACATCAGTTACTGACCCAGTTCTACCTCCGATACGCTACACACATCAGCTGCTGACCCAGCTCTACCTCAGACACGCTACACACATCAGCATTCTCCGAACACGGGTCCAGGACAGCCACCAAGTGCAGCAGGACTGAAGAACACTGATAAAGAATTTCTGCTTCACTGAATGTACTAAGTTTTATGTGTTATTTGGTATGATTTAATATTATCTGTACAATTCTAAATATTTGTTTGGGGGCCACACCTGCTGGTCTCAGGGATCACTCCCTTTGCAATGCTGAGGACTGAATCTGGGACTACCGCTTGCAAGGCAAGTATCTACCCACTGTATTATCACCCCAGCCCCAAGTCTAAAATTTTCAAAGACTTGCGGGGTAAATACCCATCTATTAAGGGATTAATATCCAGGTTATCCAAGACACTAGTAGACTTGTACTAGAGAAAACCTCCAACCCCATCAAAAATTGGGCAAAAGAAATGAACAGAAGCTTCCTCAAAAAAGAAATACAAATGGCCAAATGGCACATGAAAAAGTGTTCCACATAGCTAGTCATCAGGGAGATGCAAATCAAAACAACGAGATATCACTTCACACCACAAAGACTGGCACACATTCAAAAGAACAAAAGCAACCAGTGTTGGTGTGGATGTGGGGAATAAGGGATGTTCTTTCACTGTGGGTGGGAATGCTGACTGGTCCAGTCTTTTTGGAAAACAATATGGGCATTCCTTCAAACACTAGAAATTGAACTTCCATATGGCCCCACAATACCATTTCTGGGAATGTATCCCGAGGGTGCAAAAAAGCACAGTAGAAATGACATCTGCACCTGTATGTTCATTGCAGCATTGTTCACAGTAGTCAGATTCTGGAAACAACCCAAGTGCCTGAGAACAGATGAATGGTTAAAGAAACTTTGGTACATCTATACAATGCAGTTTAGCAAAGATGAAGTTATGAAATTGGCTTATAAGTGGATGGTCACAGAAAGTATCATGCTAAGTGAAATGAGTCAGAGAGAGAGGAACAGACATAGAAGATTGCACTCATTTGTAGAATATAAAATAACATGAGATTGACACCCAAGGACAGTAGACACAAGGCCCAGGAATACTGCTCCATGGTTTGAAGCCTGCCTCAGGAGCTGGGGGAGAAGGCAGCTTGGGACAGAGAAGGGATTACTAAGGCAATGATGGTTGGAGGGATCATGTGGGATGGAAGATATGTGCTGGAAGTAAATAATGGACCAAACGCTATCGCCTCTCAGTATCTCTATTGCAAACCACAGAGCCAAAAAGCATATAGAAAGTATAGGGGAAATCGTCTGCTATAAAGGCAGGGGTAGAGCTGGAAAGGGGGAGTGAGTTTACTCGGGACATTGATGGTGGAGAATGGGCATTGGTGGAGGGATGGGTGTTGGACCATTGTATAACAGAAACTAAAACATGAAACTTTTGTAACTGTATCTCAGGGTGATTAAAAAAAAAGACTTGCAGGGTAAACAGGGAGCTCGCGCAAAGCACCAGATTCCAAGTCTGACCCTCAATATCTCACACCCCTCCCCATCCCCAAAGAACCCCAACACCACTATGTCCCACAGTCAGGATGAATTGAGAATGGGGGGCGAGGGGGTGGGGCCTGGGATGACAACAACTACAAAGATCGACAGGCACAGCACAGTATTTCCCACTGTCCCCAACTCCAGTTTCTCATCACACCACTCTCCATGGTCTGAGTAGCAACACATCTGTCAGCACCCCAGACCCTGCAAAGGCTCCTTTATACCTTGAAGACTCTTCCATGATCTCTTTCAGATGGGCAATTTCACCTCAGAAAAGTCTCAATTCCACTCCACTAAATGCCCCTTTTATCAGCAGAGGGGCCAAAGCAAGCAGCAGGGTACTGACCAGTCTACTTAAGATCGTTTAGTTTCTGTGCTTCCTTGCATTAGACTTTAGCTCCAAAAGGGGAAAGAGCGAACAGACTTCTGCAAGCCAAACCACCACATCCCAGAGGCAGAGCAGGTGCTCCTTACATACTTCTTGAAGGAACTAAAAAGAATTCCCAAGTTATCCTCACCAAACACCCACAAAAAAAAAAAAATGACTTCAAACTTCCAGCACTCTATCAGCTCTAAAGTCTCCAACCAAAGTCATATAACCATAAGGACAGAAAATATCTGCTCCGTGGATGGGATGTAACAAGGAGGCAACCAATCTCCATTAACAAAACATAAACACAGAGGCTTCACCTGTAACAACACCTTAATAATGGCTCATACAAGAACTTAACGTCTCCGTCTCCGTGGTGAGATACAATTTAAACTAATTTTCTTCTAAGGAAAACTTTTTTGATCATTCTGTTAGCAAAATTATTGATAACAAGCAAGGTAAAATAAATTATTGAGGGCTTGCTATGGGGGCAGGCTTAAGGGAGGGTTAGGAAAATTGGAGACCATGGAGAGAAGATGTAATAGTGGTGTGATTGGTGCTACAATATTGAATGCCTGTAACAAATCATATAAACAACTTTGTAAACCATGGTGTTTATATAAAGTGTAGGGGAAAAAAACTTACATATGCATGTAAATTCCTATTCCCTGCAAATTCCAAAAAAAACTTACCCATTCCATGTAAATTCCAAAACATATTAATATATAATTGCTTTTTTTTTTTAAATCTGCGCCTGACCAACCATCATTGGTATCTTCAAGTGCTGGTCAAGAATCTGATTTTTAGGGTCAAGAGTCACAGGACAACAGGGGGGGAAGGGAGTAAAAGGTACTTGCTCTGCATGAGGGATGGTTCCCCCACCCCCAGCACAGCCAGGACTGATCTCAGAGCCAGGAATAACCACCGGAGCACCGCTAGGTGTGTCCACCACCCCCTCCTCCCCCCAAAAAGAGAAAACCTCTCTTGCAGAGACGTAGGTCGGTACTAATTTTATTTAAAATAATTAAATTAACTCTAAGACAAAAATAATAAAATTAATTTTAATTTTAAAATATATTAAGATAAAGCACATGGAAGGGCGAAGCGCCAGTATAGCAGGTACGGCGCCTACCTTGCACGTGGCTGCCCGGGTTCGATCCCCGGCACCCCGAGCCCCGCCAGGGTGATCCCTGGGTGCGGGGCCGGGACTGAGCCCTGAGCACCGCTGGTGTGGCCCAAACAAACAAACAAAAAAATCAGATTTTTCTCCCCAAGCAACTCACCTGCCGCCGGCCGCGGGCTCGGACAGACACACCGCTCGCAAGACTCGGCCGCGCGGGCCCGGGACGGGCGCACTGATCGCGAGATTCAAACGCGCGGGACCCGGACGGGTGCAGCGCTCGCGAGACTCAGACGCGAAAAGAGGCCCGGGCTCGCGCCGACGCCTTCCGGGTTCCGCCCACACGCTGCGCGCGCCGCTGCGCCCCAGGCGCTCCCGCCCCTGCACGCCTCTCCCGAGCGAACCGCCCTGTATTTGCATAGGATCCAATTTGATGGGTGGAGCAAGTCAGAGAAAAGAGCCGAACATCTCTAGGAGTGATTCCTAACTCAGAGGCAGGAGTGACCCCTGAGCATTGCCAGGTGTGACCTTCCTCTCCTCTCCCCCCGCAAAAAAGAAAGTCGTAAATAAATAGATAAACAGGAAAGGGAAGGATCAACAGTGTTTGATGGGAAGCAATCCATGACAAGTCCGTGAAAGTAAGAGTTTTACTCATTTTCAGTCAAAGACTGTTTTGAGGGGCCAGGGAATCGGTCGGGAGGGACTATTCCCTGAGCACCTGCAGGATGTGGGCCAAAGCCCCACCAAATTAAATTAGAAATAAAATTAGCAGTTTCAATAAATAGTGACCTGGAGAAGCTGGAGCAATAGAACAGCGGGTAGAGCGTTTGCCTTGCACGCGGCAGACCCAGTTTCGATTCCCAGCATCCCATATGGTCTCCCGAGCGCTGCCAGGAGAGATTTCTGAGTGCATGAACCAGGAGTAATTCCTGTGTATCGCTGGGTGTGACCCAAAAAAGCAAAATAATAATAATAATAAATAAAAATAAATAAATAGTGACCTGGAAAGGATAGAACAAAGTTAGGAAGGTAGACTCAATAATGAATGTCTAATACTGTTTTTAAAGTATTGTTACCTATGATTGTTTTTTAAAGTGATTTCAGGGCTGGAATAGATACTACAGTGGGTAAGGCACTTACCTAACTCGCATGTGGCAGACCCGGGTTCCATCCCCAGCATCACATAGGGTTCCCTGTGCATTGCCAGGAGTGATTCCTGAGTGCAGAACCAGAAGTAAACCCTGAGCATTGCCAGGTTTGGCCTCAAGCCCCCCACCAAAAATAAAATAAAGTGATCTTAGAATTCTCTCTAGTACAAAATGAAGATAATATACTTATA